GTACTGACATTTCATGTTGATGGTCATCTATTTCCTGACTTCGGTTCCGTTTCAGTTCTTTAATGATACTTTGTAGTTTGTTTCTTTCTCTTTGAGCAGAGCTATGCGTTTCTCGTGCTGTTGAAGTGTGACCAATATCCCTCCAATAGACAACTTCAGACTCAAGTCTTGAAACTTCATTTGGGAGTTGGCTTATTCCTTGTCCGGACAAAATTATATCATTAAAGTCCATGTCATCATCATGGAAAGCTGAAGGATGATGACTAATCCCATGAACGAAAGAAGATGCAGTGGTTGCTGGTACACCGCCAGCTCCTGAAGGTACTGACTGAGCAGCCGACTGCAGTTTCAGCATCTGGTCCTGGAGCACAGTATGTCTGGCTTTAAGATGGTGGATTTTTACCTCTTTTTGCTGAAGTCGATTTTGGTAACTTGTAGATTGCCGTTTTCGTTTGAAGCTCTGACGCTTCATGTTTCTCTTCATGTAAGAAATACAAAGTTTCTTACGCCTTTTATTCTCTGATCTCAAGATTGGATGAACGGTTTCAATTTCCTTTGTCGTCAAATCAGGTAATTCTGCTTCCACTTCCTCCGTGCCCCCCGTCAATATAAACTTTGTAAAGTTTGAAATCTGGCCAGCGAGGGAAGCCAGGTTGCCCCTGACTTGACCCAGAGACTGGCCCCATCTGGAGCCGAGGCCCCCAAACCAGGACGACATCGCGGTGAGTTTAGCTGCCGACCCGGTCCACTCGGAAAAAAAAGCATTTAGCGTTGTCGGACGATCCGACCAAATATCCTTGAACGCCTCCCTTCACAAGACTAGTTCAAATGCGCAGGATTCCACAACAAAGCGGGGTTCCCAAGCAACATGGGCTCCAGGTTCTGCTGAGGAACACAGAGGCCTGGCCTGGGAGTTTACCAGGGGCCCTCCTCTAGTGACGCCATCACCCACACGGGGCCTTCTGCTCATTCCCACCATACAGATTGGGCCAGTTCTACTTCTGCTTTAGTGACTCTCCCCAGTTCCATGGGCAATTCCTGCCAACTCACCAGCCGCCATGACACTCGCCAACAATTTTTTTTTTTTTAATTTAAGTTCTGGGATACATGTGCAGAATGTATTTCACTTCTTGAGGCTGGCTTTGTTTCACTCAGCATAACTCCCTTGAGATCCATCCAAGTTTTTGGATGTATCATTGTTTTTTCCCTTTTTATTGTTGAGCATATGCTCCAGTTATATGACTTAGTTTTAACAGCTCAGATATCTATTTAAAGATATCATCTTAAAACTAAGCGTTTCCTTACATAAATTCATACAACTTTCATGTAAGTGTTAAACCATAAGCTGTATCTGCATGAGTATACTTAACATCACTGAACATGCCACTTCCTGATATAATGAGGTACAGCAATCCAAGAGTTCACTATTCTCATGATGGTGGCCACTGAGGGCAATGAAACCACTTTGATAGCACAAGTACCCAGATGTCTGAAACTTAAGAGACTATCTCTTCAATTTTTTAATATACCCATCATAAAAAAGTCCTGACATGAAACTTAACTATATCGTTCATATTTTCATTAGTTGTTGAACTTGTACATTTAAAAAGATATTTCTTGCAAATTTTGTAAATTGTAATATGCCTTTAAAATAGAACATTTATAGAACAAAGAAAGATGAAAAATGAGATAAATTCAAATATGTAAATAGGTCTGGCTCAGGCCAGAACTAAATTTGGTTGTTTGCAAGTTTTCCTGTGATTAACTGTAGTTTCTAATATTTTTGGAAGACTGGAAGTCTTAATTACATGCTGAGGGGTGAAACAAGATGTTTTGCAAAAGTTATTTGAGGGAAAAGACATCTTAATTAAAGCCAAAAGTGATCAATTACTTTCTTCCAATGAAAATTTCTCTAACAAAGGAAATTAAAACAAACTTTTGAGGCAGGGAGTCACAAACCTGAAGGAGAGAATATTAATTCTAGAGATGGACATTGGCAAATAAAAGGAGAAAATAAATAAATAGTAGAAACATCGGAATATCAAGCATTGCAAGAGACTAGCATGAAGTTTTCTGTGATGCTACGAGAAAGAGTTTGAGTGCCATTCAGTGAAGGAGAAGGCTCTTGCTTTTGAAGAGCTATTGAAAGAAAAAGAACAGGGCAAGATTGGGGAGTTAAATCAGCTTGTAAATGCAGTTAAATCAATGCAGGAGAAGATAGTTGTGTTTCAACAGGAGAGAGACCAAGTCATGTTGTCCCTGAAACAAAAGCAAATGGAAAACACTGCCCTTCAGAATGAGGTTCAGCGTTTACGTGACAACAAATTTCAGTCAAACCAGGAGCTAGAGAGATTGCGTAATCATCTAGAATCAGAAGATATCTTATACCCGTGAGGCTTTGGCTGCAGAAGATAGAGAGGCTAAACTAAGAAAGCAAGCCACAGTATTGGAGGAAAAGCTAGTTTCATCCTCTAATGCAATGGAAAATGCAAGCCATCAAGCCAGTGTGCAGGTAGAATCATTGCAAGAACAACTAAATGTAGTCACCAAGCAAAGGGATGAAAGTGTGCTGCAGCTTTCTGCCTCTTGGGAAGAGGTAAAGCAGTGTGCTGTGTCACTGGCCAACCTACAGATGGTACTACAGCATTTCCAACAAGAGGAAAAAGCTATGTAGTCTGCTGAATTAGAAAAGCAAAAACATCTTAGAGCTGAACGGAAGGAAAAGGAGAAATATCTGAAAAGAACAGTGTTATCTTTACAGGAATGTTTGGATGTAGCAAATTCTCATTGGATTCAGCATCAAGACTTACAGAGCAAATTGAAGAACTTAGAAAAAATGAGGTCTGACCAAAAATGCTGGATGATGCTCAAAAGAAATTGATGAACTTAGCAAACACCTCAGAAGGAAAAGTGGACAAAGTGCTAATGAGAAACCTCTTCACTGGTCGTTTCCACACACCCAAAAATCAGCGTCATGAAGTGTTACGGTTGATAGGGAGCATCCTGGAGATTAGAAGCAACTTCAGCAAAGTCTCAGGATACAAAAATCCATGTGCAAAGATCACAAGCATTCCTATACACCACCAATAACAGACAAACAGAGAGCCAAATCATGAGCAAACTCCCATTCACAATTGCCACAAACAAAATATAATACCTAGGAATCCAACTAACAAAGGATGTGAAGGACCTCTTTAAGTAGAGATACAAACCATTGCTCAAGGAAATAAGAGAGGTCAGAAACAGATGGACATTCCATACTTACGGTTAGAAAAAATCAATATCATGGAAATGGCCATATTTCCCAAAGTAATATATAGATTCCATGCTATCCCCATCAAGCAACCATTGACCTTCTTCACAGAACTGGAAAAAAAACCACCTTAAACTTCATATGGAACCAAAAAAGAGCCCAAAAGCCAAGACAATCCTAAGCAAAAAGAACAAAGCTGGAGGCATCACACCACCTGACTTCAAACTATACTACAAGGCTACAGTAATCAAAACAGCATGGTACTGGTTCCAAAACAGAGATATAGACCAATGAAACAGAACAGAGGCCTCGGAAGTAACACCACACAGCTACAACCATCTGGTGTTTGACGAGCCTGACAAAAGCAAGCAATGAGAAAAGGATTCCCTGTTTAATAAATGGTGTTGGGAAAACTGGCTAGCCATGTTCAGAAAGCTGAAACTGGACCTCTTTCTTTCACCTTACACACAAATTAACTCCAGATAGATCAAAGATTTAAACATAAGTCCTAACACCATAAAAAGCCTAGAAGAAAACCTAGCCAGTACCATTCAGGACATAGGCATAGGCAAGGACTTCATGACTAAAACACCAAAAGCAATGGCAACAAAAATCAGAATAGACAAATGGGATCTAATTAAACTTAAGAGCTTCTGCACAGCAAAAGAAACAATCATAGGAGTGAACCGGCAACAAAGAGAATGGGAAAAATTTTTTACAAGCTACTCAATCTAACAAAGGACTAATGTCCAGATCAACAAAGAACTAAAGCAGCTTTACAAGAAAAAAACAAATGACCCCATCCAAAAGTGGGTGAAGGATATGAACAGACAATTTTCAAAAGAAGACATTTCTGCGGCCAACAAACGTATGAAAAAATGCTCATCATCACTGGTCATTAGAGAAATGCAAATCAAAACCACATTGAGATACCATCTCACGCCAGTTAGAATGGTGACTATTAAAAAATATGGAGACAACAGATGCTGGTGAGGATGTGGAGAAATAGGAACACTTTTAGAATGTTGGTGGGAGTGTAAATTAGTTCAACCATTGTTGTAGAGAGTCTGGCGATTCCTCAAGGATCTAGAAATAGAAATTCCATTTGACCCAGCAATCCCATTAATGAGTATATACCCAAAGAATTATAAATCATTCTATTATAAAGGAACATGCACACATATGTTCATTTGGCACTGTTTACAATAGCAAAGACCTGGAACCAACTGAAATGCCCATCAATGATAGAATGGATAAAGAAAACGTGGCACATATACACCATGGAATACCGTTCAGCCATAAAAAAAGATGAGTTGATGTCCTTTGTAGGGACATGGATGAATCTGGAAACCATCATTCTCAGCAAACTGACATTAGAACAGAAAACCAAACACCACATGTTCTCACTTATAGGTTGGTATTGAACAATGAGAACACATGGACACTGGGAGAGGAACACCACACACTGGGATCTGTTGGGGGGTGAGGGGGCAGGGGAGGGATAGCAGGGGGTGGGAAGGTTAGAGAGGGATAACATTGGAAGAAATGCCTGAATGATGGGGGGACAGAGGCAGCAAAGCACCATGGCAGGTGTGTGTCTATGCAACAATCCTGCGAGATCGCCACATGTACTCCAGAACTTAAAGTATAATAATTTTTAAAAATTTTAGAAAATTTGCAGCCTGATGATGCCATAGAAAAGAAAAACCTATTTTCTGAAGAGAAATTCAAGCCAGCTGCAGAAATTTGCTTAAGTAATTAGGACCCAAATGTTAATCACCAAGACAATGGGGAAAATGTCTCCAGGGCATGTCAGAAGTCTTTATGGCAGCACCTCCCACCATAGGTTCAGAAGCCTAGGAGGAAAACATGGTTTTGTGGGCCCAGCCCAGGGCCTTGCTGTCTTGAGACTTTGTACCTTGTGACCCATCCATGCCTAAAAGGGGCCAAGGTATAGCTCAAAACTTTGCTTTAGAGGGTGCAAGCCCCAAGCCTTGGTGGTTTACATGTGGTATTGGGCCTGTGAGTACACAGAAGTCAAGAACTGATGTTTGGGAAATTCGTCTAGATTTCAGATGATGTACGGAAATGCCTGGATGTCCAGCTAGAAATTTGCTGCAGAGGTGACGCTCCCATGGAGAACCTTTGCTAGGGCAGTGTGGAAGGGAAAAGTCGGGTGGGAGCCCCCACACTGTCCCCACTGGGATACTGCCTAGTGGAACTGTGAGACGACGGCTACCATTTTCCAGACCCCAGAATGGTAGATACACTGACAGCTTGCACCGTGCACCTGGAAAAGCTGTGGACACTCAATGCCAGCCCGTGACAGCAGCAGGGAGGGGGGCTGTAACCTGCAAAGCCACAGAGATGGAGGTGTCCAAGGCTGTGGGAGCCCACCTCTTGCATCAGCATGACCTAGATGTGAGACATGGAGTCACATGGAAGTTTAAGGTTTAATGACTGCCCAGCCAGATTCTGGACTTGCCTGGGACCTGTAAACCCTCTGTTTTGGCTAATGTCTCTCATTTGAAACAGGAACATTTACCCAATGCCTGTATCCCCATTGTATCTTGGAAGTAACTAACTTGCTTTTGATTTTACAGGCTCCTAGGCAAAAGGATTTCCCTTGTCTGAGATGAGAATTTGGACTCCAACTTTTGAGTTAGTGCTGGAATAAATTATGACTTTGTGGGATGTTGGGAAGGCATGATTGGTTTTGAAATGTGAAAGGTACGTGAGATTTGACAGGGCCTAGGCTGGAATGACATAGTTAGGGTTTGTGTCTCCAACCCGAATCTCATTTGGAATTATAATCCCCGTAATGCCCACGTGTAAAGGCAGAGACCAGGTGAAGGTAATTGGATCATAGTGGCAGTTTCCCTCATGCAGTTTACATGATAGTGAATTCTCACAAGATCTGATGGTTTTATAAGTGTTTTGTAGTTCCTCCTGCGCTCGTTCTCCTTCCCGATGCCTGTGAGAAAGTGCCTTGTTTCCCCTTCCGCCATAATTGTAAGTTTCCTGAGGTCTCCAGCCATGCAGAACTGTGAGTCAATTAAACCTTTTTCCTTTAGAAAGTACCCAGTCTCATCTCAGGCAGTTCTATTTAACAGTGTGAAAATGGATTAATACTGTGTGTGTGTGTAAATGTGTGTGTAAATGTGTCATAAACACTTAGCCTTACATACACACATACATATCTACACACAAATGTAATTGACATGTGGAAAAACAGTGACACTAGGAAAGACAAAGTATATCTGTATTGTAAAAGAGATACTGAAAGGGTACAGTTGGTCCCCCACCCATCGGCTCTCACAGGGATAGTGCGTCTTTAACACAGATGCTATGGATGAGCCGCCTGAAAGAGGAGGGTAAATTTCACCGTCCTCTCACTCAGTCCTTTCACATCTTGAGTTAATCATATTCATTTTTTGAAAAAGCACAACTATTTCTTTCTCACAGGCAGAGAAGGCTCTAAGTCTATAAAATGAGCCCCTTAGGGATAATACAAAGAATAGACGTCAAGCAGTATCAGGTTGTTGGTGTTATTCTTTATGTGTACTTACAAATAATTTCCCACCAAATCTGGGTTGCTGGGATACACAGTGGTGGATTTCTCATCCCCTTTGTGTATCCAACGACCTGACAGCTTCTTTTCTAAGTTGGTATGGAGTTCCACCTAAAATGCATTTTGGATTTATGGATAGGATCATTAATTAGTATCAGAAATTCTTACATGCACAGAGACAATCATTAGTACAGCAAAACAAAAACTGATTCTTACTTCCTGACTTCACAGCAGCTGTGCTGACCTCTCACTTTCCTTTCAGAGGATTCTAGGAGAGGACTAAATGACCCTGAATGCATGCTACATGTCCCCTTCTGCAGTAGGTTCAGACATAGTTTTCAGAATGGGTGCAGAGAGTTGCTTAAGAAATAACTCAGGGGAAGTAGGAGGATGGCTTCCTGGTTTTCCAGTTGATGCTGTTTTTGATCCAAAACAAGGCACAGATAACATGGAGGTACTAGGACTTGTGCTGTTTGCTTTCAGGGAGCAGAGTTAACAGTATAGGATTGTGCTTTTCAGCTCAACCCCACTGACGCTGTAGTTGAGCAAGCTTCCCCAACACATTTTATTTGGTGCTACTGCTTGTATTATTCTTTCTATTTATTCCCCAAGTTATTTTAAAGGGCTATTAGGGCAGTTCTGAGGTATTGCTGACATACCTGCCATGACCCCTCTCCATATTGACCTACCTGGAGTCCTGACCACCATCTTTGTAACAGTAATAGCCTGTCATTAGCAATTCCTGCCTCTGAGCTTTTCCTCACTAAACCAAGATAATAGCAGATCACCATAGACACCATTTTCATTGTGGAAGAGCTAATAATAATGCTCCAATACCTTACAAACAGCTTGAAGCACTTCATCATTTACTGCCCTGTGCTCAGGTTTTTCTTTGCTGGTTTTGAATAAACCGCTCCATCATCTGGAGGAATCTAATCACCCAGTAACAGCAGTGATCCTTCCGGGAAAGGGGACCTTGAGACAGTGCCTTGGCCATTTTCTCCAGTTCTGATGTGGCTCTTTGCTCTTGCTCGCTCCTCCTTTCAGGACCATGTCAATGCCCTGTAAATCCTAACCATCTTTCAACACTGACTCATCTCAGTCCCTCCATGTAGGCTTCCCTTAATTGTTTTTGCATTTTTTTTTTCTGTACCTGATAATCATTTAATTGTTTTTGTTCCCTCAATTTTCCAATAGCTCTGTATCTCTGTATAATATACAGCCATGTCATAGAGCATAGAATTTATGAATGATTTTAAGTTGATTTTTGATATTTAGTTTTACGAATGCCTAGCTTGTGTGCTAAGTAGACATGGTTTACTTAATAGTCAGGTATCACATCCCTCTGTTTCCTCTAGGCTCTCATGCTAAGTTGTACTGTACTTTCTACACAGTATGTGTTAAAACATTATTTCTCAATGAATAAATGCTAATGTATGGCTGAATGAATAACAGAGAAGAAAGAATTGTAACAAGTAAAAGTGAAGAGGAGATAAAGGTGAATAGAAGTTATATCTTAACATGATTTTTCGATCATTCAAATTGGCCAAAGTTTCTGAATGCATATAGTCAGCTGGTCACCAGACATCCTTGAAGCATCAAAAATGACCATTTGAATTTGAAATTGAAAAACAATCAAGTCAAAAGCATGAAAATAACTTGGTGTCATATGACAGAAAAGTACCTCACAAGATTCAATAGCCAAGGACCTAGGCCATGAAATTTTGACACCAAATTTTACATTAAGTTGTCCATAAAAATAAGAGAGTTGTCACAAGAGACCAAAACCACATAGATGCAATTAAAACTTCAATATAACTTACACTGTGGGAACCCTGTGATTCCCTGCACAAAATGTAAGGAGCTGCTTTGAACAGTCAGGCTAGGATGCCAGTGATGCTCTTGTTCCAGCTGCTAGCTACCTGGCTGGCCACATGTTAACATAACAAAAGATGCTCAGGCAATTTCTCAATTTCTCTGCTATGATTGTTCTAGGACATTTTTTTCATCATCTTTGATTACAGCAGGTATTTCATCATCTTTGATTAGACCAGATAACATGCAGACACAGGATGTGACTCCTCAGGTCTAAGAAAACATCCATTCTAAATAACTGTGCTCTCAGAAAAAGAAGTAATGATAACGGCGTTAATTTCAGTAAGTTTCAATAGATGTAATGCAGACAATACCTAACTTAGGATGGTTCAACTCATGATTTTTTGACTTTATGATGGTATGGAAATGACACACATTCAGTATAATCTATACTTCAAATTTTAAACTTTGATTTTTTTCGGGGCTAGCGATATGTGCTACTCTCCTGGGAAGCCAGGCAGTGGCAGTGAGCCACAGAACCCAATTAGCCACATAAAAACAGCCCGACTTTACAGTGTAAGTGGTAAAAATTTATCATTGGCTTATTCCTACAAAATGCCCATTTTTGACTTACAATATTTTTAACTTATCATGAGTTTACCAGAACATAACATTATTATAAGTTGGGAAACACTGTACTTACCTGCATAGCTATCCTCTTCAATCATGCATGTTTCCGGACCTCAGCAATGTCACCAACTGCCAAACCAATCTGAAGTATGACACAAAATTTAATCACTACAGTTTAATGGCCCATGTAAAAATGCATGTAATGTTTGTCTTAGTCCATTCAGACTGCTATAACAAAATATTTTAGGCTGGGTGACTTCTAAATAGCATAAATTTATTACTTAGAGACTCTGGCAGAACTGGTTTCTGGTGACAGCTCATTCCTCATAGGGGGCACCTTCTGTGTGTTCCCACTTGGCAGAAGGGCAAAGGAACTAACAAGCTCCCTCACACCTCCCTTATAAGGGGACCAATTCCATTCGTGAGGGTTCCCCCCTCATGGCCTAATCAACTCCCAAAAGCCACACCATCTACTGCCATCTTCTTGGTGATTAGGTTTCTATATACAAAGTTTGGATGGGACATAAAAATTCAAACCATAGCAAGGTCTCTGTGACTAAAATGGGAGAGTGGACATACAATCTACTAGCAGTCACTGCAGAATACTTTGGTAATACACCTTATAGAAAGCTACAAGGCCTATATACGTCTGCAACAGTGATAACCACATTCAGAGGTTCAGTACTCTTAAGTGTTATGAAAACTTAAGACACACAAATTAATCTGAAATTCATTTCATTTAAGATAAAAATCTGTTATTTTTTGAGAAGACAGGGATGATGTGATATCAGATGCAATTGGGTATATCCACACAGCATGGTAGGAAACTCCAGGAGTTTAGTAATTAAGGTAGACAAGCGTGATTTGACAACATGGAAAGAATACTAACCTGAGAGAATGACACATTTTATATCTTACATATGTTCTGAAGCAAAAGATATACCATAGAGGTGGGAGAGACTCTGGTGAGAAACCAGAAATTTATGGCTAGGTGGAATTAGGTGAGGGGAAGCCGTTAGCTCAGTTCTACTCAATCTGATGAAATTAGCTCATTTCACTCACTCATTTATTTTTTAGGTACTAAGTTTCTGACTTTGCTGAACCAGCATCTTACATGCTGCACCAGAAAGAAAAAGCCAGTGACTGCTCATGAGGAATTTAAAGTCCAGTAAACTCCATAAGAAAATGGCTCTGTCAAGGTCACCACTGTATGCCCAGTGCTTCGTATAGAGCAGGGCACATAACAGGTGTACAAAACAGTCACGGAATGAATGAAGAGTGGGAGACTATATTCTAGGGCTTGCAAAGTAGCACTGAGAACTGGATATAGCCAGGAAATAGGTTTTACTGAGGAGAATTTTTTTCAGTTTTTCATTGGCAATCCTTCAGTCAGGTCTTCTCACCAATTTATAGCAGCCTCCATCAAAACCAAACATCTCTGATTTCTGCCATGTGCAGAAGCTCACATCTATAATCTCATCATTAGGAGGCTGAGGTGGGAGGATCACTTGAGCCCAGGACTTCCAGACCAGCCTGGGCAGCAGAGCAAAACCTTATCTCTACAAAAACTAGCTGGGCATGGTGGTGAGCACCCGTAGTCTCAGCTACTAGGTAGGCTGAGATGGGAAGATCAGCTGAGACTGGGAGGTGGAGGCTGCAGTGAGCCATGATATTCCACTACACTCAAGCCTGGGTCACAGACTTAAACCCTGTCTCAAAACAAATAAACAAAAAACCCAAACTAACCATCTCATACCTGCTGCTTCACATATTTTAGATACTTACCTGGGCTCTGGAGACAGCTAAGCTTACAAGCCAGAGAAGAGATCAATTATTAAATTTTAATGGTCACTAACATTTATCGAATGCTTATCATGTGCCAAGTACTGTTTTAAGTGCATTGTATTAGCTCATTTAATTTTTGCAATAATCTAGGAAGTAGGTTTCATTATTGTTATCTGTTTGTATGCTCAAAACTATGGTAACACAAGGAAAGAGCACCCAGTAGAGTAAAGTAATTGGAGAGGGATGGTGGTGAAGAAAGTCTGGCCTGAAGAAATGATATTTGAGCTGAGTTTTGAAAGCACGGCGTTAACCCATGGTGGGAGGTTTTCCAGGCAAAAGGAAGAGCCCGTACAGAGTCTAGGCAGCATGAAGGAAAGTGTGGCACACTCAGGGAGTGTACATTTCTCAGTAAATCCAAGGAATGGTGAGGAGCTGGGTAAGATATAGGTAAATCCAGGTCACAGGGACCTTTGCTTGCTATGCTGATCGGTTTGGACTGGATTAAAGCTTTTGAGAGGCATGGAAAAAGTATTTAAAAGAGCCACTGATGGGTTTAGTTTTTCATTATCAGAGCATCACTATGGTGACCATTTGTAGGAGGAAATAGACAAAGCAGTGAGATAAGGTAGAGATGCTCTTGAGGCTGCTGCAGCCATTTGATGAGGAACCATGACAGTCCAAGCCAACTGGAAGCAGATGTGAAAGCCAAAGGATTGTTGAAAGAACTGAGGGAAAAAGTGGGAGAGTGAAATAGAGACTATCTGCCAATGATCTGAGTAAGATGGCTGGGAGATTCCACTGAGAGGCAGTGGAGATTCTGAAGGAAAGATAACATCAGTCTTGGCTCTGTTGGTTTTGATTTTCCTCCAGGACATCCAGGTAGAGATGCACACTGGGTGCCAGATTTGTGGATCTTCAGCATGGGGCCAGCCTGCACTACTGCTGAGCCCAATTCTCTTCTGGACAATTATCTCCCAAAACATAAACAGTTATAAGAGAAGAATGTGGGCTTTATGTCATTCCTCATTATTCCTAGTCCCAGCCTTTGTTTTTCTAAGTCACCAAAATAAAACTCTGGAGTTGCATCAAATAAGTGGATCAAAATACTTATGAGTCTGCATAATTTTTTTCTAGAAACACTGCCTAGTGCAGTCTCCGGTACATAGTCAGACTCAGGGAAAGTGTGTGGAATATGTGCATGTGTGCATAAATGGATAAAGAAAAACTAGGCACAATAATGCCAATAAGGGCTCTCCATGGACCTGCAGCGGACGCACCTCTGCCTGCATCAGCCAACATGCTCATGGCTTGAGCAGATTCTCTAGAGAATTCCACATGGAAGGGCACTCTCATGTCTGCTGATAGTGTCTAGGCTTTGACTGGGTTCAAGGTGGCATCTGAATGTCACAGATGCCCTCTGCATGAGAGACTTTCCCACTTGAATCTCGTCAATGGTAAATTCGAGCATAGAGACAATATGTTCTGTAAAAGTCTCTGCCTAACCTCTGACCCCCTCTCCAACTCCAAAGCATCACACACCTTCATCTTTATTGTCTTTTCCTACTTCTGATTCTTCATAGCATTTTCACCCCCACAACATAATGCTACATACTTATTTGTTTATTACCTAACTTCCTGACTAGTTTGTAATCACACCGGGACTGAATATTGGTCTGCTTTCTTCCCCAGTGTTTCACGGAACTTGTAACAGTTCCTGGCATTTAGTAGATTCTCAGTATTTGCCAAGTACAGGCATCTTTGCACTCCCTGAGCCTCTTGATGTGTCTGGTGCTCCCCAGGCACCAAATGAATTTTAAATAAATACATTTTGTAGTAGATCCTTCCTCATCTTCCCAGTGGAGGAAGATTAAAGAAGTTAAAAATAATTATTATGAAATGTTTCAAATGATCAACAAACAGAAAATACAAGAAAAAATTATTTACAAGTAAATTCATGAGGACAATTGGGGCAAATATTGTGAAACTAATAAGTAGTAAAAAGGACAGAAGTGGATATGTCAATTCATTCCTCAGAAATGGGTTTAGGAAGGACTCTTGATAATTGATATTTCCTGTTATCATACTGATGGTCTGTATCATAGACAGCAATGGAGAGCTGAAGGCACCCTGAAAACAGACAGCGAGGTACAAATAAAATGCAAAGTATACACAATGAAAAAATGTTTCCTGGAGAGTAGAATGATAAAAATTGTATTCAGAATACTTTTTAAAATTCATAGGTATATGGTTACTGAAATACAGTGATAAAATATTAAAAAACATTCAATAGTATCTTTTTTGCATAAAGAATAAATTATCATGCATTGTACATAATTTGTTTTTTCTTTTTGAGATGAGTTTTGCTCTTTTTGTCCAGGCTGGAGTGCAATGGTGCAATCTCAGCTCACTGCAACTTCTGCCTCGGGGGTTCAAATGGTTCTCCTGCCTTAGCCTCCCAAGTAGCTGGGATGACAGGCATGAGCCACCACGTCTGGCCTCAACTTTTCACAATGGAAAAATTTACTGAACAAGATCCTATTTTTTGTAGGGTTCAAAAAAGGAAAATGATTATATAGCAGATGAAAAAAACTAAAGTATTAAAATACTGTTGTTATGTAATTATGCGTTTCCTCGACTATTCACATTTACATATAAATATATATTTCCATAATTCACAGTGACAAAATCAACTACTGATACAATTGCCTTACCTGAAAATTCAAGAGGATGTAAAAGCTGAGTCCAAAAGCCAAAAGAAGGAAGACAAATACAACTGCAGACCTCAACAAAGTTTTCAAAATTACCTCCAACATAACAATGAAAATTCCACAATTTTCAAATCTATGAAAATAAAAAAATATTTACTGACTTTTGTAGTCAAACGGTATTCATTCAGTGAAAATATTTATCATATTTTAAATCAGGTATTAGATTTCATAGATGAGATCATTGAGGCCACTTATTTTGAAAAAGATAACATTAATTGCATAATCATGTCTCATTTTCAAAGTGTTAATCAAATTTTTTTCTTACTATTAATGTTACCTATTTTTGGATACAGGGTCTTGCTTTGACACCCAGGTTGAAAGGCAGTGGTGTGATCATGGCTCACTACAACTTTGATCTCCCAGGCTCAGATGATTCTCCTATCTTGGCTTCCCAAGTAGCTGGGACCACAAGCGTGTGCCACCAAACCTGGCTAATTATTGTTTTGTTGTAGAGACAGGGTTTTGCCATGTTGCCCAGACTGGTCTCAAATTCCTAAGCTCAAGTAATCAGCCCACCTTGGCCTTTCAAAATGCTGGGATTACAGGGCTGAGCCAGGGCACCTGGCCCTAAAGTTATCTTAAATCATTTTACCACTTGGCAACTGGTAAATTGCCAAGTGGCAATCATTACCTCAATTGAAGTAGGAGAGAAAAATAACAGCTTCCCAGTAGCAAAGAAAATGCAACCAATTTCTTAATAAAGAAATTAGAGAGATAAATGGTGTGCTTCATCAAGCAGAGATGAACTGAGCTCATTAACTGGAAGGCATCTAATGCAGGGCATACAACACATGATTTGCATTTTATCCTTTTATCTCCTTCAGTTTTCTTTTCTACCCATTGTCTTCTATATTGGGAAATGTCTGGATAGTTAATGAGTTTTTCACCTGGTCACTAACTTGTACTTTGCCGTTGGCAAAGACGACTTGTTACAAGAGGAAATTACAGTGTTATAAAGCTCAAAGGGACTTCAGCTAAGTTCACAGAGATATCTGTAACTCACCAAGGCCACTAACAATGATGGTGCCAAGGATGTGGCAGTGCCTGAGCTTGTCTTAAATCCTCTTATTCCTTAGCCACTGCCTTTCTCTCCACACCATGTCCTCTCCAAGAGGCCACACTCAACTTTCTGTCACTGTGCTCATGACACAGTAATGCAAACGATATGGTAGAAAAAGCATGCTCCCTGGAGTCAGAAAGGCTTTGATTATAATACCTATGTCTGGATTGACTAGCTGAGATCTTCAGCAAGTTACTGAACTCAGCGCTTCAGCTTCTTCTTTTAGACAATGCGAGTAATAACATTAGCCTCGTTATTGGAAAGATGTGAAATAACATGAAATTCAATATTACCAACCGTCAGAGGCTACAGAACTCAGCCTTTTTTCCTCTCTAGAATTAAATTATTTGGGCTTATTTTTTCTTTTATACCACTTTGATCCCACATACTATCTATTAGTTCACTTTGAGTGTTTTAATGCAAAGTAAATGCTTACATTTAATATCAGGTAAAACAAGAACAGCCAATACTTTTCCCATCTACTTCCACCATTTAATCTATATTTGTCTAGGCCAATGTTCTTGACCTGGGCTCATCTGGCACCCAGGCAACATCTGGCATTGTCTGTTTTTCATCACAACTGGAGTGGGTATTTACTACTGGTATCTAGTGGGTAGAAGCCAGTAGCCAGGAATGCTGCTGAGCATTTTACAATATGCAAGACAGTCCCCCTTCAGGGGGAAAAAAAAAAGGAGAAAGAATTATCTGGTCACAAAGTTCAATAGTACCAAGCATGAGAAACTCTGGTCTACATTCTGAACTCTGGAATCATGCTCCAGCCTTTCCTTAATAGGGTATAAAGAATTCTTCACATTTTTATACACCTAGAAAAGGAATACACTAGTTTCAAATTTACACCACTTATAATAGTTTTTCTTTAGATATTAAAAATGCTTAAAGGATGGGGAAATCATTCAAGCTTGTTTTACCTTTGAAGATACAATACAAAATTAATCCAATAGAAGTAAATAGCCATTGCTCCACATCCCCATTGCACATGAGCTCGTATGGTATTTCAGTGAACAAGGGCAGCACAAAAATGATGCCTGTTGTGTAGATAATCCATTCAACAATATCCTTAATCTCCATAAAGTAATTCCTTTTCTGGGATAGAAAAGAATAAAAAATTACCACATATAGAGAACTTGCATCTATGGATGGTTATATATATGTACCCAGTAATAAAATTTTGTAGCTTTACAGCCATCTGGGGGATGTTTAGGACCAAGGAGTAACCTCATGCCATCCTGAATTGACTTCAGAGCCCCTGGGGATTGGATCGGTGTTGGAGATGGCCCAGGGTCCTCTGTTAACCTGGTGTTGTGGGAGTCTGATAGTGATGCCTAAGGAAATCCTACAAATTGCTGGGTTTTCCCTGTGGAGTCCACTCCACAATGATAAAAATGCAAAGCATTATTATCATCGAATTTATAAATGCAAATATCTATGGGCTTACATGATGCAACAATGAAAATTTTCAGAGAGGTGTTGTATAAAAGACATGTGATTTACAAAAATAAGACTCATAAAAATATACAACAAATTATAAAAGACTTTACCTCCATACTCAGAAATGAAGGATTCATGCCATTTATCAGCCAAAAAAAGAACCCGCAGATAATTTACATATTGTTCTGATCTGAACTTGGCTCACTCATTAGAAAAATAGAAGATAAAGTAAAAATTATGCTATAAAAAGTTCCAAAATTATATTAAAACTTGTACTTTTATTTAAAAGAAAAGCATTTCTGTTAAATTTCAAAGAAAGTCCATTGGAAATGGAGCCTTGGGTCAGATAACTTCTTTATAAACATTTACATTTAAAATTATCAAGTTCAAAATCTAACCATTATGTTCGTAAAATCTTTAAAACTATGGAAGAGAAAAGACAGAAAGGATATTCATAATGACCATGTGTAGACAGGCAGGTCTTTACAGAACAGTAAAAGTGGAATATCTCTTTTATACATATATCAAACAGGCAGTGACCTTACCTAAAATCATATGACTTCTACATTTTGAAACATTTATGATTGGTATTACTTTTTTTTAAGTTTACATAACATTTAATTAACCATTAACCATTTTTTAAATATACTTTTAAGTTCTGGGATACATGGGCAGATCTTGCAGGATTGTTACATAGGTATACATGTGCCATGATGGTTTGCTGCATGCATCCCGCCGTCACCTACATTAGGTATTTCTCCTAATGTTATCCCTCCCCAATCCCCCACCCCCTGCTATCCCTTCCTTAACCCCCCTTCCCCCTAATAGGCCCCAGTGTGTGATGTTCCCCTCCCTGCGTCCATGTGTTCTCATTGTTCCACACCCGCTTATGATTGAGAACATGCAGTGTTTGGTTTTCTGTTCTTGTGTCAGTTTGCTGAGAATGATGGTTTCCAGATTCATCCATGTCCCTGCAAAGGACATGAACTCATCCTTTTTATGGCTGCATAATATTCCATGTTGTATATGTGCCATATTTTCTTTATCTAGTCTATCATTCATGGCATTTGGGTTGGTTCCAAGTTTTTGCTATTGTAAACAGTGCCACAATTAACATACATGTGCATATGTCTTTATAATAGAACAATTTATAATCCTTTGGGTATATATCCAGTAATGGGATTACTAGGTCAAATAGTATTTCTATTTCTAGATCCTTGAGGAATCACCACACTGTCTCCTACAATGGTTGAACTAATTTACACTCCCACCGGCAGTGTAAAAGTGTTCCTATTTCTCCACATCCTCTCCAGCATATTTTGTCTCCTAATGTCTCAATGATTGCCATTCTAACTGGTGTGAGTTGGTATCTCAATGTGGTTTTGATTTGCATTTCTGTAATGACCAGTGATGATGAGCATTTTTTTATGTTTGTTGACTGCACAAATGTCTTCTTTTGAAAACTGTCTGTTCATATCCTTTGCCCACTTTCTGATGGAGTTGTTTTCTCTTGCAAATTTGTTTTAGTTCTTCGTAGATTTTGGATATTAGCCCTCTGTCAGATGGGCAGCTTGCAAATATTTTTTCCCATTCTGTTTGTTGCCAGTTCACTCTAATGATTGTTTCTTTGACTATGCAGAAACTCTTAAGTTTAATTAGATCCCATTTGCCTATTTTCGCTTTTGTTGCCATTGCTTTTGGTGTTTTAGTCATGAAGTCCAGGCCTTTCCTATGTCCTGAATGGTTTTGCCTAGGTTTTCTTCTAGGCTTTTTATGGTGTTAGGTCTTATGTTTAAATCTTTAATCCATCTGGAGGTAATTTTTGTATAAGGTGTAAGAAAGGGGTCCAGTTTCTGCTTTCTGCACATGGCCAGCCAGTATTCACAACACCATTTATTAAACAGGGAATCTTTTTCCCATTGCTTATTTTTGTCAGGTTTGTCAAATATCAGATGGTTGTAGATGTGTGCCAGTACTTACGAGGACTCTGTTCTGTTCCATTGGTCTATATCTCGGTTTTGGTGCCAGTAACATGCTGTTTTGATTACTGTAGCCTTGGAGTATAGTTTGAAGTCAGGTAGTGTGATGCCTACAGCTTTGTTCTTGTTTAGGATTGTCTTGGCTGTGAGGGCTCTTTTTTGGTTCCAAATGAAGTTTAAGGTCAATAGTAGCTTGATGGGGATAGCATTGAATCTATAAATTACTTTGGGCAGTATGGCCATTTTCATGATATTGATTCTTCCTAACCATGAGCATGGAATGTTTTTCCATCTGTTTGTGTCCGCTCTTATTTCCTTGAGCAGTGGTTTGTTGTTACCCTTTATGAGGTCCTTCACGTCCCTTGTTAGTTGTATTCCTAGTTAATTTATTCTCTTTGTAGCAATTGTGAATGGGAGTTCACTCATGATTTGGCTCTCTGTTATTGGTGTATAGGAATGCTTGTGATTGTTGCACATTGATTTTGTATCCTTAGACTTTGCTGAAGTTGCTTATTATCTTAAGGAGATTTGGGGCTGAGAAAATGGGGTCTTCTAAATATACAATCATGTCGTCTGCAAATAGAGATAATTTGACTTCCTCTTTTCCTAACTAAATACCCTCTCTATTTTTTTCTTGCTTGATTGCTTTGGCCAGAACTTTTAATACAATTTTGAATAGGAGTGGTGAGAGAGGGCACTTTTGTCTAGTGCCAGTTTTCAAAGAGAATGCTTCTAGTTTTTGCCAATTCAGTATGATATTGGCTGTGGGTTTGTCATAAATAGCTTTTATTCTTTTGAGATACATTCCATTGATACCTAGTTTATTGAGAGTTTTTAGCATAAAAAAGCTGTTGAATTTTGTCAAAGGCCTTCTCTGCATCTATTGAGATAATCATGTGGTTTTTGTCTTTGTTTCTATTTATGACATGGATTACATTTATAGATTTGCACATGTTAAACCAGCCTTGCATCCCCAGGATGAAGCCAACTTCATTGTGATGGATAAGCTTTTTGATGTGCTGTTGGATTCAGTTTGCTGGCATTTTATTGAAGATTTTTGCATCAATATTCATCATGGATATTAGCCTGTTTCAATAGCTGAATCAATCAAGCAGAACAAGGACATCAGAGATTTAAGATCAATTCAATGAAATAAAACAAGAAGGCAAGATCAGAGAAGAAAGAGTGAAAAGAAATGAACAAAGCATCCAAGAAATATGGGATTTATGAGAAAAGACCTTATCTACATTTGATCAGTGTACCTGAATGTGATGGTGAGAAAGAAACCAAGCTGGAAAATACTCTTCAGGATATTATCCAGGAGAATATTCCCAACCTAGCAAGGCAGGCCAACATTCAAATCCAGGAAATACAGAGAACACCACATAGATATACCTCAAGAAGAGCAACCCCAAGGCACGTAATCATCAGATTTACCAGGGTTGAGATGAAAGAAAAAATGCAAAGGGCAGCCAGAGAGAAAGGTAGGATTAGCCAGAAAGGGAAGCCCATCAGACTCATAGCAGTTCTCTCAGCAGAAACCCTACAAGCCAGAAGAGACTGGGGGCTAATATTCAATATACTTAACGAAAAGAACTTTCAGCCCAGAATTTCATATCCAGCCAAACTAAGCTTCATAAGTGAAGGAGAAATAAAATCCTTTACAGACAAACAATTGCCGAGAGATTTTGTCACCACCAGGCGTGCCTTATAAAAGCCCCTGAAGGTAGCATTAAACATGAAAAGGAACAATCAGAACCAGCCACTGCAAAAGCAAACCAAATGGTAAAGACCACTGACACAATTAATAAACTGCATCAACTAACAGGAGAAACAACCAGCTAGTATCAAAATGATAGGGTTAAATTCACACATAACAGAATTAACCTTAAATATAAATGGGCTAAATGCCCGAGTCAAAAGACACAGTCTGGCAAATTGGATAAAGAGTCAAGACCCTTTTGTGTGCTGTATTCAGGAGACCCATCTCATGTGCAAAGACACACATAGACTCAAAATAAAGGGATGGAGGAAGATTTACCAAGCAAATGGGAAGCAAAAATTATCAGGAGTTACAATCCTAGTCTCTGATAAGACAGACTTTAAATCAATAAAGATCAAAAGAGACAATGAAGGACATTACAAAATGGTAAAGGGATCAATGCAACAAGAAGAGCTAACTATCCTAAATATATATGCACTAAATACAGGAGCACCCAGATACATAAGGCAAGTTCCTAATGACCTACAAAGAGACTTAGACTCCCACATGATAACAGTGGGAAACTTAAAACAGTCCACTGTCAATATTAGACAGATCAACAAGACAGAAAATTATCAAGGATATCCAGCACTTGAACTCAGATCTGGAACAAGCAGACCTAACAGATATCTACAGAACTCCCCACCCCAAATCCACAGAATATACATTCTTCTCAGCACCACATCACACTTACTCTAAAATTGACCACATAATTGGAAGTAAATCACTCCTCAGTAAATGCAAAAGAACAGAAATCATAATAAACAGTCTCTCAGATCACAGTGCAGTCAAATTAGAACTCAGGATTAAGAAACTCACTCCAAACCACACAACTACATGGAAACTGAACAACCTGCTCCTGAATAAATAATAAAATGAAGGCAGAAATAAAGATGTTCTTCGAAACCAATGAGAATGAAGACAAAATGTGCCAGAATCTCTGGGACACATTTAAAGCAGTGTCTAGAGGGAAATTTATGGCATTAAATGTCCATCTGAGAAGCAAGGAAAGATCTAAAATCGACACCATATTGCCACAATTAAAAGAACTAAAGGAGAAAGATCAAACAAATTCAAAAGCTAGCAGAAGACAAGAAATAACTAAGATCAGAGCAGAACTGAAGGAGATAGAGACATAAAAAAAACTCTTAAAAAAATCAGTGAATCCAGGAGCTGGTTTTTTGAAGAGATCAACAAAATATATAGACCACTAGCCAGACTAATTAAAAAGAAAAGAGAGAGTAATCAAATAGATGCAATAAAAAATGATAAAGGGGATATTGTCACTGATTCCACCGAAGTACAAACTACCATCAGAGATTACTACAAAGAACTCTATACACATAAACCAGTAAATCTAGAAGAAATGGAGAAATTCCTGGACACTTAAACCCTCCCAAGACTAAACCAGGAAGAAGTTAAATCCCTGAAAAAACCAATAACAAGGTCTGAAGTTGAGGCAGCAATTAATAGCCTACCAACCAATAAAAGTCCAGGACCAGAGAGGTTCACAGCCAAATTCTACCAGAGGTACAAAGAGGAGCTGGAACCATTCCTTCTGAAACTATTCCAAACAATACAAAAAGAGGGTATCCTCACTAACTCATTTTATGAGACCAACATCATCCTGATACCAAAACCTGGCAGAAACATAATTTAAAAAGAAAATTTCAGGCCAATATGTTTGGTATTTCTAATCTATATGTTAGCCAAGCTATATGAGTTTATTATGACATAATATTATCTTGAGTAATTGCTTATCAATTAATTTACGTTCTGCAAATTAAAATATTTGCAACTTTAGAAATACAAAATGTATTACATACCTGTTGGAAAATTTGGAGCAGTTCCTTGCAATACCCAAATATACTTGAGGAAAAAACTAAAATCATACATGTTTTTACTCCACATGAATTCTAAAACAAAAAAAGGATAAGATACATAGTTAGGAGGGATAAAAAAACTTTAATATTTTCACAATTTCTACTATTAAATTTCTTTTTTTACTCATTTTGCTTAATTTCCATATATTGTCTACATTTGAATTAAATGGAAATTTAACTGATGCAAATACGCATATCATTTACTAGAGACGAACACACCCACATTTCAGAATGTCGCTATTAAGAAAAGTTCAAAAATTGCCAATGGAATCATAAAAAATATGAATCTGTAGACCTACATAAAGTTTTTATTGTGGTAAAATACATTTAATATATAAAATTTACCATTTAAAGGCATTACATTTTACATGTACATTTACAATTTAAAATATAAAATTCAGTGGCAATAGGTGTATCCACAGTGTTATACCACCATCACCATTATCTAGTTTCATAGTTTTTTCATCTTTCCCATTGGAAATCACATACCTATGTGTAGTTCCCAGGGACTGTGGTTCGTGGGGAATGGGTGGAGGAGAGATAGCATCTCCATTCCCCACGACCCACAGTCCCTGGCGATAGCATCTCTCCCCCACCCATTCCCCACGACCCACAGTCCCTGGCAACTACAAAAGTGCTTTCTTCTGGACCTATTTTAAAGTTTTACACTTCAGCATTTAAGCTAGCATCTAATATATGTCAGTTCCTTTTAAATTAGTTTACAAACTCACAATTGACATATTTGTTTATATTCCCTTTCATTCCACAAAGGATTTTAGAAGAAATTCATACCATATACAGAATTTTACAGGCTACTTATAATAATTAAAGTCTTGATATTTCAGATTTATTATGGGTTTAGTATTCTTACAAAAAATATGTTTTAACAATCCTTTACTTTAAAAAGTTAAAATTTTAAATTACCATGGTATCTAGTATTTCTGAATAATCACTAGTTTTATAGATGATTCCAGTTGAGTTGAAAACCATTCCTGGTTTTATAGTGACAACAAGAAAGGTCATAGGTATGAGACCAAGACAGTAAAATCCTAGTTGTATCATATGGGCTTTAAATTCATAAGCCAACCTACAAAAAAATAAGCAAACCAGAATTGAGTCAATTTAAACAAAAATATTTCCTTAAAATACCTGTGGGGAAAGTGGTAGTAATCTCTTTCAGAAATGTGGTTGGGAAATTCACTGAAGTTTGAAATCAAATAAATCATCTAATTCACCTTTTTCATTTTCAGAGAAGGAATCTCAAGTTCTGAGGAAATTATGACTTAACAAATTAATGAATGAGTGGGGTCTTTAGCCCATATAATCTGACACCAAGATGAACACTCTTCCCAGAACACACCTTTCACTTCATTGCCCACTACACTGTAGGCTCCAGAGTGCCTTTCCATGTTTGACATAATAATTCCTTCCCATTCTCCAAATATTCCATTTAATGTTAAAGTTAGACAACTTGTAGGCCCTAGGAAGCTTCTTATGTCTTCTATAATAATTTTCTCCCACCTCCTAAATATTTCACTTAATGATAAAGAATGCCAGTATTTTAATGCCAATATTTGCATTTGATGCTTATTCTTTTCAAAGTGTAAAACATTGAAATAACAAAATCAAAAACATTAAAGTACCATTAAAACATAATTGTTTTGAAGACTTTTAAATAAATTCAACAGGCAAACCATTAAACAGTAAATACTACTTAATACCCACATACCTCTTTACACACAGGATGATGAAGAAGCTCTGTGCGATTATATTGTACCATTGCCTGAGAAATAAAAAAAAAGAGTAATAAAAATATAATAACTACTGAGTATAAACTAATTTTTTTATTGTTTGGTTTTATAACTTTATTTTGATATTATAAAAGTGACCCTTATTTTAGAAAATTGAAAAAATGTAAAATTATATCAAAATTAACAAAACAGAAAATCATTTTGCACACATACAATTATTTGATTCAGTCTGTGACTTTAGATGTCTGATTGCTTGAGCTAGCATAAGTTTTTAAATCTTATATAGGGTTACAATAGGAAATAACATTGAAGATAAATTATCAAGAGTTATACTCTCATTTTATCCTTGAAAGAATTCAGGCTTATCTTTCTAGAAATATTTTATATAGTAGAATACACATCATAGCTGTTAAGTTAAATCTATATTATAATTTTCCATTAGAAGTATTTGTAACTACTAGTGTTTTTAAAAAATTAATTGTTAATTATTCAAGAAATACATAAATAGAGGGACTAATGTCAAAAAGGTAGCAAAATAGGAAGTCCCAGGCCCTCCTTTCTCCCTAGAGACATGTAATTAAAAACAATACACAGATCATTGCCTTTGTGAGCAATTTAGAACCTAGTTAAGAGATTCTTAAACCCTAGGTGAGCATGTAGCCAAAAAGCACCATAGCAAATACAGCAGAAAAATTCATGGCCTTTAGTTGCCACGGCTTCTCCCTCTGGCACAGCACAGTGTCATTGGGAAAAAAAAATTCAACTCCTGGCTTCTCCCTGGATAAGATAAAGAAAAGAGTGGAACATACACCCAGTGTTCTGACTTCAGAGGGGCTGCCCAAGGAAATGAGTTTTATCTTGCCTGAATCTAAGGTCTGAAAGGAATGGGTGCCAGGAGGGGATCACTGGTAACAAAGTAGATCACTGGGACTCAGTCTAGCGCCAAAGAAGATACAGTATCATGGACAGATACTAGGCTGTGTGACAGTATCAAAATTTACTACAGCACCAGAGAGTCTGTAGTACCACAGACATATACTGCAAGGAGGTACTGAGTAAAGAGAGGTAAATCTCTTCATCTAGTAGATTACAAGCACAAGCCTAGAGAAGATGAATCCCTAGAAAAGGCAACAGAGGTCTTCAGCATTTGTAGCCAGGCAGAAGAGACAATGAGTGAACTCAAAGACAGGATATTCAAAATTATCAAATTAGAAGGGCAAAAAGAAAAAAGAATGAAGAAATGTGAAGACAGCCTAGGGGATTTAAAGGAAGCAATCAAGCAGAGCAGCATGCACATTATGATAAGTTCCTAAGGAGAGAAAGAAGATGGAGGATTAGAAAGCCTATAATGACTGAAAATCTCCCAAATCAGAGAAAAGAAATAAGCACACACATTCAAGAATCTCAAAGACCTTCAATTAGCATGAAATCCAAAAGAGTTATTCTGAGACACATTAAAATGAAACTCAAAATTCAGACAAACAGACAATTTTGAAATCAGCAAGAGAAAAGCAAGCTATCACATACACAGCAACTCCAATATGATTATCAGCAAATTTCTAGACAGAAACATTGCAGGCCTGAAGGGAGTGGAATGATATATTCAAACTACTGACAGAAAATAAACTGCTAATCAAGAATATTATAACTGGTAAAAACTATCCTGTAAAAATAAAGAAGAAATAAGATTTTCCCAGATAAACAAAGGCTGAGAAAGTTTATCACCACTAGACTTGCCCTATTATAAATGCTGAAGAGAGTTCTTCAAGTTAAAATGAAAAAATGCTAAACAGCATCATAAAATCACACAAAAGTATAAAACTCTCTGGCAAAGGTCAATATATAGACAATTATAGAATCCTGTCAGAGTATAAGTGAAAAAAATACTTTTAAATTTGACATAAAAGTTTTAAACACGAGCATAAAAAGTAACTATTAATCTATGTTAATGGATATGCAATTAAGAAGCAGTATTATGCATAATCAAGAACATACGGTGGACATAGATGAATTGATATAAAGGAGTAGAGTTTTTCTGTGCAATTGAAGTTAAATTGTTATCAGTTTAAAATATATTCTTATAAATCTAAGATGGTTGATATAATTGCAATGTTAACTGATAAAAAATATGTATATGGGAGATTTTAACACTCCACTGTAAATAATAAACAGATCAATGAGACAGAAAATTATCAAAGATATCCAGCACTTGAACTCAGATCTGGAACAAGCAGACCTAACAGATATCTACAGAACTCCCCACCCCAAATCCACAGAATATACATTCTTCTCAGCACCACATCACACTTACTCTAAAATTGACCACATAATTGGAAGTAAATCACTCCTCAGTAAATGCAAAAGAACAGAAATCATAATAAACAGTCTCTCAGATCACAGTGCAGTCAAATTAGAACTCAGGATTAAGAAACTCACTCCAAACCACACAACTACATGGAAACTGAACAACCTGCTCCTGAATAAATAATAAAATGAAGGCAGAAATAAAGATGTTCTTCGAAACCAATGAGAATGAAGACAAAATGTGCCAGAATCTCTGGGACACATTTAAAGCAGTGTCTAGAGGGAAATTTATGGCACTAAATGTCCATCTGAGAAGCAAGGAAAGATCTAAAATCGACACCATATTGCCACAATTAAAAGAACTAAAGGAGAAAGATCAAACAAATTCAAAAGCTAGCAGAAGACAAGAAATAACGAAGATCAGGGCACAACTGAAGGAGATAGAGACACAAAAAACCCTTCAGAAAATCAGTGAATCCAGGAGCTGGTTTTTTGAAGAGATCAACAAAATAGATAAACCACTAGTCAGACTAATAAAAAAGAAAATAGTGAAGAATCGAATAGATGCAATAAAAAATGATAAAGGGGATTTCACCACCGATTGCACAAAAGTACAAACTACCATCAGAGATTACTACAAAGAACTCTATGTACATAAACCAGTAAATCTACAAGAAATGGATAAATTCCTGGACACTTAAACCCTCCCAAGACTAAACCAGGAAGAAATTGAATCCCTGAATAGACCAATAACAAGGTCTGAAGTTGAGGCAGCAATTAATAGCCTACCAACCAAAAAAAGTCCAGGACCAGATGGGTTTACAGCAGAATTCTACCAGAAGCACAAAGAGGAGCTGGAACCATTCCTTCTGAAACTATTCCAAACAATACAAAAAGAGGGAATCCTCCCTAATGCATTTTATGAGACCAACATCATCCTGATACCAAAACATGGCAAAGACACACCTAAGATAAAATTCCTGGCCAATATCCATGATGAACATTGATTCAAAAATCCATAATAAAATACTGGCAAACAAGCAACTTCAGCAAAGTCTCAGGATACAAAATCAATTTGAAAAAATCATAAGAATTCCTATACACCAATAGCAGACAAACAGAGCCAAATCATGAGTGAACTCCCATTCACATTTGCTACAAAAAGAACAAATTAACTAGGAATACAACTAACAAGGGACATGAAGGACCTCTTCAAGGAGAACCACTGCTCAAGGAAATAAGAGTGGACAAAAACAGATGGAAAAACATTTCATGCTCATGTTTAGGAAGAATAAATATCATGAAAATGGCCATACTGCCCAAAGTAATTTATATATTCAATGCTATCCCCATTAAGCTACTATTGACTTTCATCATATAACTGGAAAAAATCACCTTATACTTCATTTGGAACCAAAAAAGAGCCTGCATAGCCAAGACAATCCTAAGCAAAAAACACAGCTGGAGGCATCACACTACCTGACTTCAAACTATACTACAAGGCTACAGTAATCAAAACAGCATGGTACTGTTACCAAAACAGTGATATAGACTAATGAAACAGAACAGAGGCCTCGGAAATAATGCCACACATCTACAACCATCTGATATTTGACAAACCTGACAAAAATAAGCAATGGGAAAAGGATTCCCTGTTTAATAAATGGTGTTGCGCAAACTGGCTGGCCATGTGCAGAAAGCAGAAACTGGACCCCTTTCTTACACCTTATACAAAAATTACCTCCAGATGGATTATAGATTTAAACATAAGAGCTAACACCAGAAAAAGCCTAGAAGAAAACTTAGGCAAGACCATTCAGGACATAGGCATAGGCCTGGACTCATGACAAAAACACCAAATCAATGGCAACAAAAGCCAAAACAGACAAATGGGATCTAATTAAACTTAAAAGCTTCTGCACAGCCAAAGGAACAATCATTAGAGTCAACTGGCAACAAACAGAATGGGAAAAAAATATTTGCAAGCTGCCCATCTGACAAAGGGCTAATATCCAGAATCTAGAGAGAACTTAAACATATTTACAAGAAAAAACAAACAACCCCATCCAAAAGTGGGCAAAGGATAAGAACAGATACTTTTCAAAAGAAGAAATTTGTGTGGGGCTAAGGATGGGATAGCAGGGCATGGGGGAATTGGGGAGGGATAACATTAGGATAAATACCTAATGTAGATAATGGGTGATGGCTGCTGCCATGGTCTGTACCAAAGGCTTCAGTGTAAGGAAATGAACTCATTGCAGGTGAATGAACATTCCTCATTAGCCTAGAGCAGTGCTGCCCAATAGAACTTTCTGCAGTGATGAAAATGTCTTCTATCTGTGGTGTCCAATATGAGAGCTGCAAGTCAAATGGGCTGCTGAGCACTTGAAATGTGGCTAGTGTGACTGAAAAAAATCAATTATAAACTTCATTTAATTTTAACTAGGTTTAATTCAGGTAGCCACACGTGACTAGTGACTATCATAGTAGATGGCATAAATCTCAACAAAAATTTGCATATCCAATCCTCAAATATGTTTTGCTTTGCATACACACAATTTTAATTTGTTGTGAATACTTAAACAAGTATGGGCTGCTATTGCCACATGGCAATGATTTGTTGAACCCAGTAGAAACTCTCCTTTTAACCAAGAGCTCAAGTTACTCATCTGTTACTGTTTTCTCTGTAGTTATTTCAGTTTGAGATCTTTGATTTAGACCAAAGGGGATTATATGCATGGTTTTCATTGCTTCATTGGCTAGAAATGTAAAAGTATCTTTGAAATAAGAGCTGCTTTACAACAAGTTACTTGGGAAGTTCAAGTCCATGCTGTGTGTTCAATGCTGACTTCAGATTGGGTTCATTCCTCTGAAAGGATCTAAGAACCTCTGTATGGTCAGTTTACCTTGTAGCCCAGCAGCTGACTGAATTTGAAAGCTGTACCTGTAAAATATCACCCCTTGCATTTTCCTGTGGTTTACACTAGAGGAAACTCTTGAATATGCAGGTGGGTAGAGGTAGCAAGCACATGTTACCTGTGTTGTCTATGGTTTATCTGATTCTGGTTTGGAGCAAGTCTTACGTGACCATTAGAAATGAAGTTTAGAACTTTATAGCAATTGTAAAAAAAATATATATATATATATATATTGCTTTTTTATTAAAAAATAAAGAGTTGAGTCACATGGCAGACATGGACATAAAATTATAAAACTGGAATTCTCCCCACCCATCTAGTGTGGGACTATTGTATTAAAACATTTTAGAACCTGGCTAGAAACTCCCTAGATAATGAAAACACTGAACTTACATTGAGGGCTGCAAGAGGTTTATATGTGACAGACTGTGTCGGTGTCACATTTTTTGTGAATTTTGATGGGCATTGAAGGTATCTGAAATTATACTTGATCTGTAGAAGATATAAAATTTTTTTAAAAGGGTTAGTCAAGTAAAGGACTCCCAAACTAATTCTTGAAAAATCAAATATACAAGTTTACAGTTCTGCTAAAAATCAAGTAATTTGAACAAAGTTGAATCATTTGGAGTGAAGAAAAGATGTATTATTGCATATTAATTATAAAAATAAATATCCCAGAAGGCTGTTATTCAATTGCTCTATATCTCATAGGCATGGAAAAAGATGAATTCTCAAAAGATCCTTTTGATTTTTTAGATCTTCATTATTAAGGCAAAACTACCCAAGGAAATATAAAGACTAGAAATAACATTAAATGATGCTATTAGAAACTATTGAAATATTAGGGGAAAACTGAGGAAGTAAAGGAAAAAATTATGTTACAAGTAGATAACACAATAATATGGAAAAAATGAGAACAATATTTGGCATCTCCAGTAGATTACACATCTATAGTAACAACATTTTAAATATTTTTCAAATAATTATAAAAATAAATTTTAGATTATGATGATAAAATAAACTTACGTGGTAGTCTTGGCAGGACTTGTCCATTGTGGAAGGCAACATGCAGAAATCTAAAAGTACCTTTGAAACAGAAAAACCAGCCATAGCGGTAGCCCAGTATATATTAGAAAGAATTTTATCCCATTTTCAAAAAATAACACACAAGATATTTCCCTTCCTTTTCCTGGCTTTTTGCATCTCAAGGATAAATAATAATCTATGTCATCCAGGAACAAAGTTTAACATAAAAATTGTTACAAATACATCTGCATGTTTCAGAAAAAACCAGGTGATTCAGAAAAATACCATGTGCTTGAGAGTAAAATCGCATGTACTAAAATTTAGGGAAGAGATATTCTACTAGTTTTGCCTAAGATTTGATATCTTTCTGGGCTTCTAAAGGATATATAAATTACAGGTTGAGCAACCCTAATCTGAAAATCTAACATTCCAATATGTTTTGAGGACCCACACGATGTCACAAGTGGAAAATTCCACACAAAAGTACTTAACACAAACTTTGTTTCATGCACAAAATTATTTAAAATATTGTAAAAAATTAACTGTAGGCAATGCTTTTAAGGATTATATGAAGCACAAATGAATTTTGTATATACACTTGGATCTCATACCCAAGTATACTCATATACTCATACTATGATAACCCAGTATATGTAGGCCAATATTTTGAAATCCAAAACACTTCTGGTCCCAAGCAATTCAGATAAGGGATAGTCAATCTGTCTGATTCCTTTGCTCAGTTTCTTACAGTGACAGCTTTGTCCCTAATCAAGATGTTTCATCCCAGGACTGGAGTCTTTCTATGGTTTAGGTTCAATCTTCTGAATTGCCCCAGTCTGGAGTAATATGTTTGTTTCTATACCTCATATTCCAAGCAACATGGAGAGTATGTGTTTAGAGGCAGGTAGACAAGATAGTGGGGGATAGATACTGTAACAAGAAATAGATGAACCCTCTAGATATTTAACTCAGAGAAAGAACTAGAGCCACCTATGATGTGTGGAAAAAAATTTTGTGGGGTTGCATAAGCAATTTGAGACAACTCAAATCTCTTGGTCCAAATTTATGATCTTGAGAAAGAAATACCACTTGGCCAGGCTGCCCTCTTGGAACCACGACTGGACACAATACCCCATATGGAGCCAACAGGAGCTCCTGGGGCAGCTGGTGAGCCCCACCTGCAGAATTTGAGGGTAGCCCCACCTGCAGACTATATCTAGAGGGGAAGAAACAGGGCCCTGGATAGTCTCGGGTACCAAAGGGACTTAGAAAACTTCAAGGAAGACTCTATTGGTGACTGGATGGCAGTAAAGGGGATCTTAACAAACATTATGAAAAATAAAGACAAGACTAGTCAGTACTGCTGTTCAAGGTAGAAACAGGCAGGTCTGGTTGTTATAGTTTGAAAACTTGTTAGTAATCAACATGGGCAAAATAAAGGATGGGCTGCCTTGGGTGAGAGCTGGACACGATTGCAAGAGCAACTTTTAACAAATGTTGTATAAGTAATTCAAATGTGTTATGTTGAGGTACATTGATTTAAGTTCATTTATTTGGTTAAAAAGCATTCATAATACCAAAGTAATACAAGCAAGTCATTATAGAAAATTACCTAGAAAATATAGTAGCATAAAGAAGAAACTAAAAACTATGCACAATCCTATAAGAGATCATTCTTATTAACATTGTGGTATAATTTCAGTTCTTTACTATGTTCTCACATGTGAATATTTCACCTTTTTAATAATTATAAATGATGCTGCAGGAAGCATTCTATATAAATCTATCTGTATCTCTGATTATTCATTAAGACAGATTCTAACAACTATAATCACTGAATAAGAAAGTTTGAGATCATTTTCAACCTTGAGTATTTATGCTTCCTTTGATGAGATTTAGCCACCTATCAGGATAATCTGTACACTATTTGTACTAGTACATTTGTACTAGACTGGCTCCAATTTTCATTAGGCATTATAAAGAAAAAAATGCACACAATGTTTAGCACATAGGAAGTCTTTATTCAATAAATAAAAACAAAATGCAGAAATCTAAAGTAACTTTGAAACAGAAAAACCAGCTATAGTGTTTTTTAATAATAACCACATGAGCAGTATAAAAACACCAGGGGGTATATTATGTACCAACTATTATCCTTAGCACTTTGTATATTTTACCTCTACTTTTGTATTCACTCTGTAAACTCAGCATCATTGTTTTAGACATAAATAAAATAGAAAATAAAGCTCAGAGAGGTGAAATGACTAACCTAAAGCAGCACAGCAAGAGGAAGCACCAGAATTAAATCCCATGACCTCCAGAAGGCTCTAAATCTGGTCTTTTTTTCCCTTTGTCACTATATCTTCCTGCCTCCTCCAGCATTTGAATATATGTTTCCCTTTGCATGACATTGGAAGTGATTCTGCTTTTTCTGTCTGTCCCAGCCCTCAAATCCCAACTTTCCCAGATCTTTTATTTGCATACTTTAATACTCATCTGCTCAGCAGTTTGTGAATGTTTGTCTTGTATGGGGTGTCAGGTCATATGTGGGTCTGTATGTAATGTAGCATAGGGATTCACACAATGCAAATAGACCATGCCAGTCATAAGAGCTTTTTCCCATTGTTCTTGAGATGTTGACTATCCTCAGGGAAGCTTTAATCTTTACAGTTTGGGTAGAGCCAGAATTCAGTATTTCTCTACTCTAAGGAAACCAATTGCATAAGACTGGCTATATGTGACAATGAACACTAGGTGCTGGAGCTCAGTATAGAAAGGAAGAGGTGGGGCTTTTCAAATAGGAGAGTGATTGCCCCATCCGCCCAGCAATTCCTGCCTCCTGAGAAGGCAGGCTCAGGTACCAAATCTCATTCTTATGAGAAGCCAGATATCTGCAACCTTAAAGAAAGCATCCTGGTTTCAAATGTTAGCAATTAATGCAAATTTGGAACGGCAATAACATGCACGCTAAACAAAATATATTTTAAGGCTTTATTCAGCCAGCAAACACGGTTTGTAGTCTCTTTTATAGGCACAGATTGTTTGAATAAAAAAATCTGTTTACCATATTATCCTGCATTACACATAATAACTAATAGGATTCTTTAATCCAAGAAGGTCCTCATTAAATATTTGTTGTCTAAATTCCCTGATAGCCTAGGGGAAACTAGAAGCTTTATTTCATGATAGAAATTATTATTAGGTTGGATTATGACAATAAATCTTCACATCATATACGCCAAGCACAACCCCAGGAAGAATTTTGCTTTAGAGAGCTTATCTTCATGCATTCAGGGAGGTATTCTATCATTTCCAAAACTGGACATTTATTGCTTGGAGAATTATGATTAAAAACCTTAAGACATTCATCCCATCTGTAAAAATATGAATACATAAGACAAGCACAAGTCTTCAACCTTCTGTTCCCACAACAGTTGAAACTCAAGATTATTTCTTTAGGAGAAATTCAAACTTAATCTTATTCATGAAATGCAATGCTTGTCCTCGGTTCTGACGGAGGCAACATGTAAATCAAGATCAACCCAGTAATAGGATCCTTGCCCATTAATAGACATTAGGAATATGAGAACATTTTGGGATAGCTGTTACAATCATTGTTCTGTCTCTTCTTCTAAATGTCTTTCAAAGAAGCCAGGACTGTATTTTCTTTCTCTCCTGAAGTCATAAAACAGTAAGTACTTACAGACCTAATCATGTTGGGTACAGATTCCACATTCACATACCTACACCATCAATGTAGTACTGGGCTGATATTTAATAGCTAATCCATAAGTTAAACTACAAATTAACACATGTAAAGTGAATTGATAAGCAGAGCCTCTGCAAAGAAAAGTTGGCCCCTTTTCTTCATCATCATCCAATTGAACAGGGTAAGAAGGTGCTTACCACCAAGGAGGAACTAAATCTACAGCAGGATACAAAGAAGAGCCCATTTGTCTCCAAGAGCCTATCAAATTTTCTGTTAACTCTATCAGTGAAACCCGTCTAGTATATCTGTATTATCAATAGAAAAGTTCTGGTTGAACATGTTCACTAAAAAGTGCTTTAAAGGAACAATCAACAGAAGATTTTTGAGACTGCTCATGCTCAAAAACAAGGGCTTGATCTGCCTTGACTATGAGATTGTTCACTCTGCGTCCACTATTAGGTGACACTGAGTGTGCATGTCTATCTGTGATTATACAGAAAGCGATATTATGAGATATGAGAAATTAGACAAACTATCCTCTAACTTCATAATTAAAACTCTCAGAACATGGTTTAGAAACCCACAACCACAAAAGATTATGTGCTAAGAGATCTCCCATTAGAGGACACTGATAACAACCTGGATTCACCTTGGGTAATATTTTTGCTAGCATCCAGTTTTAGGGTTTCTGTTGGCACCTGTCAGGCAAGTTCAGGGAGGGCAGTGCAGAGTTTGCTTGACAGTGACATGGTGCCAGACACTACGCATGCCTGAACCCTTGGAGTCTCATAAGAGTATTGCGAAGCTTGGTCTCAATGTGCCCATATTTTATTTTGTTAACAAATATAAATTGAAGATCATAGAGGTAAAGTAATGTGGCTGTTGTCACTAAAAAATTCATTCAAAAATTATGTAAACATTTAAAAATAATAACTAAAGGAGTATAATTGGATTGCTTATAACACAAATGATACATGCTTGAGGGGACAGATACCCCATTCTCCATAATGTGTTTATTATGCATTCCAAGCCTGTATCAAAACATCTCATGTGCCTGATAAATACATATACCTACTATGTACCCACAACCAATTAAAAATTAAAGACTTCTTAAAAATTTAGGTAAACAACTGATATTTCAGTATTTTGATTAATGGCTGAAACTCATTTCTTTTCTCTTATTTTCTCTCAGACTTGGAATCATCCCCGACACCAGAGAACACTTAATGACAGTGGGCAGGAAGACAGCGTACCGTTTGCTCCTGATGGTCATAAGAACCACCTCCTTCCTCTCATTGTGAAGTGCAAGGTGCAAAAAGGAGGCCTGCTGCTTGTTCAGGACTATGTCAGCATTGTGGCTCAGAAGAAGGGCAACGGCTTTGGCATGGCCTTCCCTTGCAGCAAAGTGAAGTGCAGTGTTCTTCTGAAGAAAGGGACACAGAAATTGTGGTAACCATGCCCAATCTGCCTTGTTTCACTGCTGAATTGCTTAAAAGATCTTAGCAACACTAAGTATTTAATACCAAAATATGTAGCATTTAAAACTGGTGTTCAAGCTTCAAAATAATGGCGTTTATAGTTCAAACATGGTGTGAGTGTGCATGTGTGAAAAGTGGGTCTGTTTATGCATGCGTGGGAAGTGGGTCTGTGTGTAGGGGTGGGGCAGGGGGAGAGACAGAGAGAGACAGAGACAAAGACAGAAAGAGAGAAAGAAACAGAGAGAATGAATTCCAAGGAGGTTGTTTTGTGTTGCTTTTGCAACGGGATGATTCCACAAGGACAAAGGACAAGCTTTCAGGGTAAAAAGATATTGGGTCGAACACAGAAGAAAATACTCCTGTGATTTATCCTCTGGTAGAGCAGTGCCCTACAGATTTGGGGTTTCCCAAGCTTGTACATTTAAAAAAAAAAACAAAAACAGAGACTGTTATAAGGTTGACAATGTTTAGTTTTCCCATGACTTTTTTTTTCTTTTTAAAAAAGGCAACAACAATTATTTATCTCTGTTATTACAAATGTACATTTCAATAGTTATTCTCCCCAAAAGAAGGAAGGACATAATAGCACAATAAAGGGCAGTCCTTCGAGTCAACACTTTAAAATAATGCACTTATTTTAATGAAAACTTACCCCTTCCTTCATTTTTCCGAGTTACCAGGGAGTAAAAGCTTTACCATCAACTCACAATGTTCTGTGGACCAGACTCCCTGAGACTACAGGGTTCCTCAATATTCACCCACCCCTTGGTATTCTCCCATTTCTGTTGTTTTTGATTCATACTTCGCCTCAAGAGTCTGCTTGCTAAAAACCCAAAAAGCCTAGGAAAAGAGCAAGGAAGGAAAGAAGGTGTCTAGGAGGGTTTGCTGGCAATGCTGGAAGTTTCTGTTATGTCAAGATTCTGGGTAAGTGTGAGGACCACAGTACATACCCCGTCTTCATCTATGTGAACTGTGTACTTCAAATTAGCATCAAGAATGACCTTCATGGTCTGAGTGTAGCCACCTATGGATGCATGATGCAAAGCTGTCCAGACATTGTGGTCACTGATAAAGAGTTAAGAAAAGATGTGTGCATACACTTAACAGATGACATGCAGGATGGGATGCCACCTGGCTCTTTCTAGGTAAATTTGATGACAACGAAAAGCATAATTGAGATGTGGCAACTAATATTTATGAAATAGTTATAATAAATGAGTGAATTTCAAGTGATCTTAATCTACTTGTAATATGATTCACTCATGTTTTTTATTTAGTGGTTTAAGATATGAAAGTATATAAACACATTACCAAACACTTTGGGGTAGAAGTACACTTAGCGTGTCTGTATCATACATAATTTTTTCAAAGCTATAATGAACTTATACACATCAATTTAAATATTGTTTTATTTTTTCATTGAATATTGTATCAAAAAAATTTTTATGAAGTGGTGTTAGTCTTCATGGTCAATAGTTATTGGTAATACTACTAATAATATAGCACATGGCTATAAGACACTTAGCTTAATGTTACTTACTAGTCTAATAGTTCAAGTCTGAAACACTTTCGTCTTGTGCTTTCAAAGATGCTTACATAATCACTTTGAAAAATGTTTATTCTTTTTCAGAAGAAAAAGAAATTTAAGATGTAAATATAATGAAGCCTTGTAATATTGCTAATACTTTTTTCAAATTAAACGTAGAAAACATTTTCTGACATAATTTAATTTCAGTGCTAGTGAGCAGATGTTTTAGGGTATAAGAGCCATGTTGCTATTTCAGCTACGATAAAATTAAACAAAACTATCTGGTCTGGGTCTACTTGGGTCACCTTTGTAGGTCAGCTGCTTTGTGTTTCTTTGTAAACCAGAAGAAACTGAGCAAAGCATTCATTTTTGCAGCTGTATCACTTAATTTTCTGGCATCAGTATTCTCACAAGAAAATTTGTTTCTAAATATTAGCCTAATAAGCTCTTTGCTACTGCTCTGGTGAAATACCAAATGAAATACCTCTGTAAATTATTTCCAGAATTTTTTTCTTTTTTTACAACAACATCATTTAATTATGTCACATATTTCATTATGATTACATATTTTAACTTGGTTTTGTTTCTTGTGCTTGAGTTCCTTTAAGTATAATAAAATTCAGAAATTTTTACTGTCTCCTGCTGTCACTTAAGGGGAGCTTTTTATGTCTACCATTCATCAGATTGAAGAAGTAAGGTATTTGAACGTGTGTGTGTGTGTGTGTGTGTGTGTGTGTGTGTGCATGCAAACACTCACATACACAACTATCGTTTTGTATCTACATTGGAAGATGCCAGCATGATGAGCTAAAATATGAAAAACTGTATTTCAAAGATTCTGAGAAAGACTCTGCTCAAAGCCACTATTCTGTGACCTTGGACAAGGTTCTTCAATTCTAGAAACTTTAGTGTCTTTGTCACTTGGAAATAATACTGACTTCCCTTTCAGTATTTAAGAAGTTATGTGTTGATGATAAAACAAAATGGGTTAAACTACTCAGTGACAACATAATTAAAATATAATGAAAAGATAGCCTGAAAATGGCTAATTAGAAAGACTAAACACTCTAATCATATATCCTCACCTGAGAAACAATGCACCCTTTTTCAGAAGAAGCTGAACTACTTTTTCACGTCCATTCTTTGCTGCCAGATGGAAAGGAGTCATTCCATGAAGGTCCCCTTCATTCAGAAGCTTCCTATCAGTTATGTCTTGTAGGAGCCTCTGACAGGTATTGATACGCCCGTAACTTGGAAAAAATTAGGTTTCAGATTTTCAAAGCAAATATTAAACAGAAAGAAGACATACATTGCAAGACTGAACTCCTACCTGGCTGCAAAATGCAGAGGTGACTTTTTATCTTTGCTTTTGGAATGAATGGACACATTAAAGCCAAAGAGGTTATTTACAGAACCAGGATCCCCCTGTCTACATGCATAATGTAGACGGGTACACCCATCGTTGTCTTCATCCATTTCCAGCTCTGATGTGTTGCATCTATAGGAAAAAAATAATATTATACAAATAATTCTGCTATTATGCTAATATGATGGTTTTCAAACTATTCTGTAGGAAAATATTTTCCAGCAAGGGTCAACATGTATTCCTTTGGGTCAAAAATGTAAATTCCCTAAAGGATACCAGAATAAAATAAATGTGAATAAAGTTCAATGCTGTCTCCATGTAATGTACATTACCATATTAAAGGCTCTGGGAGATCCTGTAAATAGGAAAATGTACTTAACATTTTTAACTCAGGATTTTTCAAACATACTTGACCACAGCCCTTCTCTCTGCCCCTCCTCTCATTTCCCCACACCCCTGAATAACACCCAACAGCTTCATGTTAATAATACCTGTTAGGTAAAATGGAAAGGATGTTAAAATTAGGTTTTCTTTATCTTTTATATGTATAGTGAATTAAAAATGAATGACAAATGAGTAGCTTAGTCCAATCAATTATTATTTTGCAATTTTTGCCAAAAAATTTCAAATACATATATATTTTTGATTCCTTATTAAAGATAGTGACAATATTGAAATCTGTTTATGATAAAAATGTGGGGAATTTCACATGCACTTGATAGTCACTCAGTATTAGCTGGTGAATAGAAATATGAAAATAACGGTTTTAACGCAACTCGAGTATGCTGAGTAGCTTTTTTTTAATTGATGATGTAGTACTGATAATTCATACCCATGGTTGGTTTTCCACTGATAAGCAAATCACAACAGTAAAAGAATAAAGAAAAGCAAGCTAAGTATACATCTATGTATACTCATAGATGATAGTATATGAAATCCTTCTGTAACTTAAAAAACTCAATCTCAATACAATTAATTATCATCATCACACCACCATCACCCTGTTTTAACTAAATATTCAAATATATCATCTTTGTTTTAATACATTCTTAAAATTCCAGAATCAGCTTTTATAATAATTAAATTATAATAAACAAAATTAGTTCATCCTCTGTTGAACCCAAATTAGTTAATGGAAATCCATAGATATGCATTACCTGCATAAACTCGGGTCGCAGATTTTTTAATCCATAAGGTTGCTGCACAGTTAAATGCAGAAAATTATGTCCAAAATTATCTTTTATATCTACTTGGGCACCTAAAAAAAAAGCACAATGTAAATATAAATTCTATTCACTTATTTAATGCATCGTTTATGTGAATTTTCAACTTACCAAAAAAGTTTTGACTTAAAATTTCACTGACCTTTAGTTTACAGGAAATTTTATTTAGATGACAAAACTAAACATAATTAAAAATGGGCTTACTATATGTGTCTGTTTGTGTGTGTGTGTGTGTGTGTGTGTGTGTGTGTGTGTGTGTGTATGTGTAAGTGGAATAGAAAATATGTGATACATTACATAAATACATGAGGCCTTACCTCTTAAAGCATAAAATATAAATATATAGACACATTAGAAATCAAGAAAGAGGATGATAGCAGTGAAGGACCCCTCACTTCTTTATCAGAGGCCCAGGTTAGACTCTACAATGGGGATAGCTATTATACCTATACCACATATGACAGATAAACTGAAAGAAAGTTGATTAAACATCCAGCAAATGCCTAGGGTACAAAAATTGCTTTATAAATGTTACTTGCTATTGTTCTGAAAGTATCTTTTTAAGTATTGATCCCTTACTGGACTGAAAATTATTCTAGACATAAAACATGTTCTATTTATCTTTGTATTGATGGCACCTGGCCCAGAGCCTGGTACATAATAGATGGTTAGTAAGCGTTCATCTAACCAAATTGAGTAATATTTCCAAAGACTTGGCTTGGTTCCTCCTGGTACCTTTAGAGAGTAGCAAATTTACAATATTCCAAGATGCAGAAGCAGTTGCTAATATAAGTTGAGAGTGTCCTTCAGAATCGATGCTATTAATATCTGCTCCCTAAAAATCAAACAAGCCATTCAACAAGGAGCTCACAAACTACAAACAGATAAATCAGCATACATTGCAATCTCTAAATGAGGTTAATTAATTGATACAGAGTGTCTATATTATGGCGACCACTAAAGTGTACAACTTATTATAGAACAATTTAAAATTTCTCCATAATTCATATGTTGTATCATCAGAAATCAAAGCATTCTTTAATAATTTCAACAAAAAATGATTCTCACTTGTTAGGCTTCATATTGACACCTGGCAATAGCTCTAGTTACTACTTAAACCATAAAAATAATATCCTTTTACCTAGATCAATATTCTAGTTTCCACTGTAAGAAATAATTTTTAAATGTGTATAATTGTAAAAGTCTTCCAAATTTATTACATATATGATTAAGAAAAATTCACAAAAACTTTCCCTTTTTAAAAAATCCTATTTTAACTGAAATAGATGAACTGAAGTAACTGAATTGACATCACTCAAATTCTAAAGTAAAATTTTAGCCAAGCATTTATTTGATAAAATTTATATTTAAAAATCACATTAAACATATATTGTTAAAATGAATAAGTCAATGTTAACCATTATGTATCATAATATTTGATATGACAAGAAATCAAAGGGCTTTTAAAATCTCATGGAAAGAATTCTATACTTTACACAGAGTAATAAAAAATATTAATAGCTTAAACGCCAAGTGTGGATATTCCTGTGTTCATTTGGGACCCACCGAATATAAATGACAATGGGGGCAGCATCCCCATGGCAAGCTCCATGGTGGTCAGTGAAACCACAGTTCTCTTGCCCAGTGAAGAAGAGACGGCAGCCTTTGCATGAAAACATGAATGACCAAGGTTTAAAGTTTATGGTATATAATGCATAGTTTAAGATATGTAATAAGTTTCCCCAGGACTCTTCTAGGTAAATGTCACAATTTCAATAGTTGTTGTTGACAATACAAAATGTTCAATACAGCCAATGGAAATCCGTCATTGCTGATACGGTGTACTTAAATAAATTTGCCATACATTTATCTGCATAATGGGCTTATAAAAGTTCAACTCGGGCCGGGCGCGGTGGCTCAAGCCTGTAATCCCAGCACTTTGGGAGGCCGAGGCGGGTGGATCACAAGGTCAAGAGATCGAGACCATCCTGGTCAACATGGTGAAATCCCGTCTCTACTAAAACTACAAAAAATTAGCTGGGCATTGTGGCGCGTGTCTGTAGTCTCAGCTACTCAGGAGGCTGAGGCAGGAGAATTGCCTGAACCCAGGAGGCGGAGGTTGCGGTGAGCCGAGATCGCGCCATTGCACTCCAGCCTGGGTAACAAGAGCGAAACTCCGTCTCAAAAAAAAAAAAAAAAAAAAAAAAAAAGTTCAACTCAAAAACTGACTGATTTCACTTCTTAGAATGTAAATGATCTCATGTTTCATGTTTTCACTTGTAATAAGCCTTGGACAATAATTTTTAGTTCCTCAGTTTTTCACTGTTTGAAAGGAGGCACTGAGGCAGCTGGGATAGGAGCTTCCCCAGTACTGCCTGTCCTGCCTCCACCTTAAAGCCACCAGGGTGGAAGAAGCATCACTGCCCAAGCTCACACTCCTCTAGGACCCTCTAACAGACCATGGGAACAGCTTTCCTTGCAATGTACCTGCAAACTTCCTGCACTAAAAACACCGATATGGATATCCAAAAGTGGTCTTTGGCACTTCGAACTTCACAGTAATGTTTGGCCTTTACCTATTCATAGGCAAAACACTCTGCTTCCAAGCATGTCAATCATCCTTTTGTACACTTTTTTTGCTGATAAGCAAGAGATTAAAATTTGATTATTTTTGAAAATTATGTAATTATATAATTTTTCAACTATAAATAATAATAAAAATAAACCAGTAAATGGAATAGTTACCACTGAAATTAAATCGTCTGCTAGTTCATGGTGATCAAATAATTAGCTCTGAAAAAACAGAATTATAACCGTTATAATTATAGTACTATTGATGTAAATATAAATGTATTTAATAAAGCTACTATATTTAGAAAGTGAATTTAATCATAGAATAACGTGATAGAATGTTGGAGAATTAGTAAGCTTTCAAAATTTGTAATTTGATTCTTATTATAGTAGCAGTTTCAAAGTAATAATAACAGGAAAACACCAAATACATCACAATATTTTCTTCCTCATCTTTTAGTAAACCTATTTTCTCCTGTAAAATCACCATGAAGAGGTTTTGAAGTAAGTAGTAACATCTCTACCAAGACAGAAAAGACAAGGAAATCACTGGTATTGCTATGATTATGGGGAATAGCAACAGCTACATACAAGGTACATCTCAAATCACTTTCGGGGTTCAAAAAGTCCCTCTTTGGGAGACTCCTCTTTGGCAAAAGTTAAAAGGCAGTGTTAACTTCTGAGGTTTTATGAAGCCAAAAATGATTATGGAGAGAACTGAAAACGTTTTAGTATCATCTCACAGTCAGTCATAAGGATAATGTTAATTAACAAAGCAAGTAAAAGTTTTCAATCTACATTAAAGCACCACCTTAACACATGTTAATACTAATGATTTAAACCTTTATGTTTCCTATGGCAAATATCATTTCTTTGTTTCAAGATTGTCTCAACTATTCTTGACCTTTTATATACAAATTTAAGAATCGGTTTGCTAATTTTCACCTCAAATATGACAAGAGGTTGCATTATATTTAAAATATATTAATTATATTTAGTAATTTTAGGGAATAAAATATAACATTAAGGACCCATCTACCTATAATTTCCTCTCATGCATATTAATATATTAAGGCTGTGTTCTGAAGACACACTTTAAAAATAACCAAATCATTGGGTTTCTAAATTGGCTACACATTGGAATCAAAGAGGTTATTTTTTTCTCATTCCTGTCACTCATCACGGAGATTTTATATATTCAAGGGTATTAATTGGCACTGGGATTTTATGAGCTACTCACATGATTCTAATGTGCAACAGTTTGAGAATCTCTGGTCTGGAGATTAGTATATTGAGTTTTCACTTCATTTCACTGGCTCTTTTTTAACTTTTTTATTTTACTAGATCATTTTCATATCACCAATCCTGGATTCATATATGACAGTCTGTTTTTACAATTCTATGTTGTCTTACTTTTACATAACTGATTAACCTCCTTTAAATTTTTAAGGTCTCAAGTATCTTTATTTTAAAATTCTTTTCAGATTGCCCTATTATTTCTATTTTCTTGGAAATAAAATGGCTTTTGTTGACTTTGTTTGTTTCATAAGTTTTCTTTTATGCTATACAATTTTAGTTTGTAGATTCATCCTAAGGGGGAGTTTCTTTCTTTTCACACATATCCTATCATGGCTGGTGGTTTTGCAAATGTGTACATTCATTAGAAATAGATCTTATATTGGTAGCTAGAGTTTCTTTTTTTTCTAACAGATATTTAGATAGATTTCCAGGTCTGGTCACCTATTGAAAATATATTGGCAGCTCTGAGACACTGAGACACACACACACACACACACAGAGAAAGAGAGAGAGAGAGCGAGCTCGCGCGTGCGTGCGTGCTTGTGTGCGTGTGTGTGTGTGTGTGTGTGTGTGTCTGAGACAGTGAAGGGTCAACTCAGACAACTTTCACCCACATCGGCAGCATCTGATACTTGTCTTTACAAAGTCTACAATGCTTGTTTAATTAATTTCTAGTCTACGATGTTTGTTTAATTAATTTCCAGTCCTGTCCTAGCACCTATTAAGCCTACAGTTTAATACACTTTCCCTGATGTGTATTTCTAACAAACTTCACAGAAATTTTTTATCATTTTTGGCAACTTGGTTATAATTTCCTAAAACTATATCTTTTGAAACCATTTATCTATAATTGGGGGGTTAGCAGAAGGGATTAGAGTGTGAAATGTGAAATATCCATATGTATCTGCTCCATTATTGTCACTGAAAATGGGGATAAAATAAACATGAGAAATTGGAACAGACTAGAAAGGGCTTGGAAGACCTTGTAGGTAGACTTTTTTAGCATACAGAAAATCAATCTTAATCCTATATCTGCTGGACTCCATTCAGAATATGCCACAGGAGATTTTATTCTGTGAAATTTATTTAATATTGTACTTCCATTCCCTGGGAACACAAGCAATTCCAGTAAATACACAGGGTCTTTGTTATTTTTCTCTATTTTGAACAACATAATCTTTGCTTCCATTTGTGCTAACTGCTCTTTGCAATTTCTATTTCAACATGTGAAGACTAAAGTTCTGTGTTCAGAATGGTAGGCAGGAAACTTGCCTGTGAAGTACAGTCTGATGGCTTTCATCAGCTGCATTAACAATATCCATGCCACCAGAATAGGATGATATCAACAATTTAACAATCTCAGTCGCTCCATGATGGGCAGCAAAATGAAGGGCTGTGCACTTTGCCTTCTGTAAAAGGTTTGAATACTATAATCAATATTTAAATCCCAATTTCAGAATATAACTCAAATTCAGCTGTGAGTTTTTTTTGTCCCAGGTAAATAAAATCAAGGAACATGTACCACATTTCAGATGATTAATTTCAGTTTCATCTGATCACCATTAATCATCTGAAATGTGACAGATATTCCTTGATTTTATAGACCTACAAAGAAAAAAACTGTAGCTAACAGTTGTGCTTGTTTCTAATAAAATAACTCTTGGCATATACTTCCACCATCATGATCTGGGTGCCATTCTTTCCCCCAGGAACATGAGAACAGTGTCTCATTCATTGCTATAAGTACTCAGACTCCATACCACCAATGGCTGCTCTTCATTTCTATATTGAAGGGACTTAGGATCAGTGTCCAGAAGCTACATGAGATTAATAACGAATCTCTTCCTCCAGAAAGCACAGGACTTTGCAGAATCTTGAAGGGGAGCTTATTACCACCCAAAACTCAGACATTGAAGAAACGGGGGCCAGAACTCTCCACTTTTGGTCAGAGAAGCCTGGTATAAGGTCAGATTCCAAACACAGTCAACATTTTTATATACATATTCTTAGAAATTAGTTAAGTGTTCCTTAATTTTAAAAATGATAACTCTTCCAAACTGAACTAAAGGCAAAGACATTCATCATTGGGCATTAATATTCCTGGCTGAATATTATCATCTTCTGAGGGTAGGCCTTAACTTATTTAATGGCAATTGAACTAGATATATTCTTTATTCTATGTGTATTAGTGTCTTCAATTGTTTTCGGGAGGTCTCAAAAATCTTTACATAGATTGAAACTTGGGGTATTCTCTTGTTCTGCTTCTGCATAAGCCAAAGAAAATAATATCATTTCTTGTATGTATTTCAATGTAAACCATAAAAGAGCTATAACGCATTTTATATGCTTATGACAATTCTAAGATAAAGATATCATATAGAATATGAAAAGTTACCTCCACTAGGTCTATTTGTGCACCATTGTTCAGGCACATTTTGACAATTTCTAAGTCACCATTTTGCACAGCCAGGTGGAGAGGATTGGCTTTCTCATTATTCACACAGCTGATGTGCAACTGTCTACTGTACCCATGCTCTTCGCCTTTAGGAGAAAATAGCATTCAACATAACAAAATATATAAAATGAATAATAGGGAGTATTCAGAAAAAAAATGGTCACTGAGACACACAAAAGCCTGTCTTAAATTCTCTTAAATATTTTTTAAATTAATACCATCCACCAGAATAGACTTATTTACAGTATATATATATATGAAAAATCCTCTACTCACCAAACTTTAATATTATTTCCATGCATTCTTTGGAACCTGAAAGTACAGCCTGATGAATAGGAAAACATCCAAATTTATTTGATTTACGTGGCTGAGCTCCTTTGTTAAGCTGGAAGAAAAGACAAAACTAAAAAGTGACACCAGTTAAACTCCAAATCACAAATTACATTATATGTCTAGGTAAAAGTAAAGTATGTAGAGAGCTTCCTATATTATGAAATCTAAGCATCAAGGTAATTTTGAACTAAGCAGGGATTCTGAAATAGGGACATTTTATATCTTCCAAAGAAGTAGCAACATAGACACAAAAATATCAGTCTTGATATCCCAGAAAACTAAAGTCAACATATTTTTAAATAAAATTTTTAAAGACATTGTCATGACTTCTATACCCATTTTCAATTTCTTATGCAAATATAGTGACAATATTTCTCAGATGCTTTTCCCTTTATTTATGTAAAATTAATAAGTGAATAGCCACCACTCTTGTTAAGCCACGAAAATCAAGTATTTTCACTAATAATAGTTCTTCACTAAAAAGATGTTAGAAGAACTAAATGTTATATTTCGTTGATATCCGAGCCAATCATTTTAAAGTACCATTTTCTATAAATCATTAGCCTTAAGTTTTAAGTACTTTTAATTAATTCAAAAGAAAATATTTTGAGTAAACAAATTTATGTAGAATCAAATACTACCTGTAATCTCAGCTTTTAGAGATAGTATTAGTTTACTTATATATTATATATAATAGTCCAGAAATGTATATATAATATAGTCCAGAAATGGCAGATGTACTTTATAAAATCATATTAAAGAATATTGCTAAGTAAAAGCTTTTTGAACAATATTGTCACATAGTATACACATAAAAATTAGATTTGCAAGGAAGTAAGAATTTTAAAATGTTGTTTTCTGTAGGACTTTCAAATTAACTATTTCTTTTGGTTAATTTAAGGCTCTTTGCCTAAATTCTTGTTTTGAGTGTTAGTTGATTTATTTTTATTCTCTTTATCATTTATTCTCTTTTTGGTCCAATCATGAGATCTTAGAGGATGTACATGTCTCTAAGTACATCTAGTAAAGGTGCTAAAACATATTTGTATGATACATTCAAACATTAGGCAAATACTTCTAAATTATTTAATGTCATTTTCTTACTCTTTGGGATGGTAAAGAGGCAAAATCAAGTGGTAAAAATATAGACCCTGGCCTGGATAATATGCAAGTGATTAAGGAATATTTGAAAAACGGCTGCTTGCTCAGAAGGAGCACTGCCGGGAGCAGGAGGAAGTCATGCGGATGGGAATCTCCATTACCTCACTGGACCACACCAGGAAGCCTCACCAGAGGCAAGGCTGGCTCCACCGTCAGGCATGTGGCTAAGAAACTTCATCATTACATCACTCAGGGCTCTGTTTTTGAGAAAACATGGCAAGAATTTCTTCGGGTCTTCAGGAGTGGCTGTGTTTCCTTTGGCTTTTATCGTATGAGCCTGATAAGTCTGCAACTGACTATATTCATCTTTCTTTTGACTACTGTATTTGGAAGCTCAGAATCAAACGTAAAATCCATCTTTATAACATACAGGCCATTATACTTTGTATTTTGCGTTCTAGCCTGAACACCAGCTTCATCTCAATCTTTTCTGCCTGTGTTTTCTTTTCACTTTGAATTTCTCATAGTTCTGATTACTGCTTTACTATTAGTCTTTTGTCTTCTATAAGCAATCTCAGCCCCACTTAAGGTGGGTTGTGCATATATAAAAACACATAGAACAACTTCTTTTCCTGACACAGTTTCTGTATTTTATATTTTTCTATGGAGAAAAACTTAACAGCTTTTGTAAATAATAATAATCCATGTTGTGTTCATGAACAGATAAAGAAAGCAGAAAGATATGACAAATATGCAAACCAAAATCTGCAGTGCTTCACTGTTATTTTTGGTGCATGCGATCATCACAGCTGTGTTTCCATTTTCTCCTTCCAAATTAACATCAGTACTTCTATGCTCAAGCAAGACCTACAGAAAAGGAAAGAATAACTGTCAAATTGTTTACAGGTTTCCCACTAAGGTACTTGTCTTCCACTGGATTTTAAGTTATCGGATGCCAGGGATCATGTCTATTTATATTTTTTCATCCGTCTCCCACATAATCTGGCACAAAATTCTGTACATTGTGGGCACAAAGTAAATTTCTCAAATAGATGAAACAATCATGATTTCAGTGTCACATCAAGGTGATAATGAGTTGTGGCATTGTAAATAAAGAATTGTAGATACTAGTTATCATAGCTTCACTTAATACTTTTGATTTGCTTTAAGTGAAGCTACGTTAACTAATGTTTTCAGAAAAATATATTTGCGGAGCCATTTAAAATGTGTTCACGGTGAAGGAGGAAGACAGAAAGGGAAGAAGGAAGAAAGTTAAGAGAGAGAGAGAAGAAGAAGGGAGGGAGGGAGGCAGGAAGGGAATGGTTTCTTTTTTCCTTCCAGGCATTTTTCTTTTACCTAGATTGCAAGCATCCTGGGAAATGTCAATAGAAACTCTATTCTCTTCAGTAAACAAAACAGAGTTTTGAATAACAAAACTTATGTATGGCTTAACTCAATTAATTCAAATTTGGCCTGGAATGGAATCATTTTCTACAATGGAAGAAATTAGCATCCTGGCAGCATAGTGGCTCACCGGTAATCCCAGCACTTTGGGAAGTCAAGGGGGGCAGATTACTTGGGGTCAGGAGTTCAAGACAAGCCCGGCCAACATGGCAAAACCCTTTCTCTACTAAAAACACAAAAATTAGCTGGGCGTGGTGGCACAGGCCTGTAGGCCCAGGTACTTGGGATGGTGAGGCAGAAGAATTGCTTAAACCTGGGAGGTGAAGGTTGAAGTAAGCCGAGATCACACCACTGTACTCCAGTCTGGGAGACAAAGGAAAGGGAAGAGGAGGGGAGGGGAGGAGAGACAGAGGGAAGGGAGGGGAGGGGAGGGGAGGAGAGACAGAGGGAAGGGAGAGGAGGGGAGGGGAAACAGAGGAAAGGGAACGGGAGGGAGGGGAGGAGAGGGGAGACAGAGGAAAGGGAAAGAGAGGGGAGGGAAGGGAAGGGGAGGAAGAGAGAAAGAGGGAGGGAGGGTGGGAGGAAAGAAGAGAAGAAAAAAGAAAAGAAAAGAAATTAGCATACTGATAAAATGGTCAGGTAATTTTTCTGACCGAATTTCACTGAAGACCTGTTTCCTTCTCACCTGGTTGACTACCAGCTGATTATTGCCCAAGAGTCTAAAGAGCTTTGACTAGTCTTTTCTTACATTCAATGTAACAAAATTATCTCATCTAAATGTCTTATCAAATCTTTGAATTGGCCTAGCAGAGGCTTTTTTCTCTTGTAGAACGACTATGATAAACAATGACATGTCCTTATAATTAAATAATATTAAAAGGGTTTATTAAATAAGCTGTTTCTTAAAAGCATTGACTTCTTTAAACAACTATGCAACCTCTTACCAGAGCCTCTTGTTAACAGAATGTGCCCTATGTGAGTGTCAACAAATGAATTAGGTTTACTAATTGGCTATGCTCATAAAAGAAACTTAAACTGAGATTTTAGTATATAAAAATATGTGGGAAAATGATTGATGGTTAAGGGAAATGAGAACACAAGATTCCTTCCATGGACTTTAGGCACCTTTGCATTCTTTTCTTAAGAAGATCTAGATTCACATATAAAATAACCTACCAAAGTCTGCAAGAAGAGACTTTTCTCTCTTTGCCCTCTTAGAATCATAGATCATAAATTTGGAGCATTTATTGGGCTGTTATTATTGTACCATCAAAAGCACAATCTTTCAAAAAGCTGTGTTCAATTATATGTGGCAGGGATCCCAGAGAGAGCAACTAAACTGTACACCTACTTCAAATTCAGTCATGACCAGGCAAGTCTGGAAGGTTCAGAGGTGAGCTCTCTGCAGGCCCCTTTGATGAGAATCCAGAAAGTCTCATGGAAAGGTCAAACAACGGATACTTTGAAGTGAAGCCCCAAGGATGAGGGCCTGCAGGCCACTGAGAAACAAAACCACCTCCTAATCCCCAGGCCAGTGTGTTGCAGGGAATAGTATACATGTCATAGGTCATTTGTGCAAGCACTTGAAGTGATGCACAGATGAGTTTTTTACTTTACAGCCATTATAGGCAGTGGGGGGAAGTGTGGGGGAAGGCTAGTGGAGCAGTCAATGGAGCAAGGGCTGGGTAGGTAGGGGCTGGACCATAGGCATAACTGGGAGAGGCAGGTGGAGAGAACTGCTGTTTGCAAGCATGAGGGGAGACACTCCAAAACACCTTCTCCTGCTTCTATTTCTGTCATCTCTGGTGAACCAGAGTAGTTTGAAAATATTTTTAGACATAGTTGTGGTCGGTAAGACCAAGTAACAGACAGTCAATTTTACTTAGAACTCTATTTTTCTGCATGTTTTGGTGCCACCAGGAAAATTCGTTTTATGTCCACCACTGAGTTTATGAATCAGTTAGACACTGGATACCTACATTTCTGTATTTGTTGTTCTGGGTATTTCTGCATTCTAATTAACAATAGTTTTTCAACAGTTATCTGTCTTCATATTCCCAAACCACACTTTAAGAGCCAATATTAATTGAGTCAATAGGTATTTGTTCTTGAAAAGAGCCTCCAGAGGGAGCAGAGCTCCATGAGGAAATATGTGACATCTCTGGGAATATTCCCTGCAGTCACTAGTGGCCCAATCCAGATGATATGGAAACAGCACTTGGCTCATGAATAATGCAGATATTTAATAAAACAACCCCCTACCCCAAAAATAAACCAGCTTGTTGCCAGAGGACTTTCTAGTAGCCTGTTCAGGGAGCCACCCTGATCCATCTCATAGGTACTGAGACTTCAGCTCTCCCCTTCTTTGTCAGCCAGAACTCTCATTGACTCATTCATTCATTCATTCACTCACTCACTCCCATTTACTCATTCACTCATCATTTGCCATCACAGTGCTGAGGAATAAGAGAGATTTGGATTAGTAGGACACCACCCTCCACAAGGATAATTACTCAGTGGACAAAAAAAAAGCACATGAATATTTGATCCCAACATCATGTGTTAAGAATTTGGATAGACCCATATCCAAGTTACAGTATGAAAGCAGAAAGTGGCTCCCCTCACACCCTTTATGCCAAACATAAAGGAGCCACGGTTCAGAAGGCTGAGATAAACGTCTTTGAGCTAAAGAGAGCCTGAAACCCATGCATCTCTTTGGTGATTTATAGAGAAGTAGATTTTCTTGTGGCTTGCCACAATAGCCAAATCATCATTTGCAATAATATTTCTAAAGGAAAATGTATTATAAGTTCCAAATAGCCTACCTTAGAATGAACTTTTGGAACATGATCCATTTGTAAACTGCTTCTTCATTGGTTAAGCATGTTTGTATTCTAGTGTGTCTGAGAGACTCTGAGAAGTAGTTAAAAAGCCATGGCATAATTCTTACCTTTTAGTAGTTTTCCAGGATTTCCTCTATTTGCCCAAGAGCTTACTCTTACTCCATGAAAACCAATAAGATGTCTCCCAATGGTGTCCTCCTGTCTTCAGCTAACTAATCTTTCTGACAGGGCATCCGCTGTAACTAAAACAGCAAATCATAACTGTTTGCTGCATTCACTGAGGCTCTCATTACTTTCTTCCTTTGTCATTAAGCCAGTCAGGTAAAAGTGATAAAGGCTGAACTTGAAAACATAAAGATGAAAACAAAATTGCTTAGTCTTGCATTTTTACTTGTGATGTGCCATTAGGCAAGCTATTCAAATGCTTTTGGCACCTCAGTGTACTCAGCTATGAAATAAGAATACTAGTATTTTATTAGATCTTATTTTATAGAGGGCTTATTTAGATATTTAGATGAGAATTTAATAAACCAACACATATGAAGTTCTTAAAAATGCTTGGTAAATAAGAACTAATCAATAAAGTTAGAACTCATCATCATCATCATCACTAGTTGGTGAGAAGTAGAGCAAATGTAATCATTACATATCATTTGCCCTGGAAGTTCAGATGGTGCTCATCCTGGAGCAAGCAGAGAAAGCCGGCTCTGAGCCCCACCACCGGCACTGCTGGTCAGGCCCATTGGAGCTGGCCAGTAGCCTTACCTTCATCACCTCATTGTGCACATGCTGCACAGCTATGTGGAGGGGTGCCATCATATTGAAATTTTGGATGTTTGGGTTTGCTCCTCTGCTGAGAAGAAACTTAACACTTTCAATCTGGTTTTCTTCTACAGCATAATGCAGAAAGGTATTTCCATAATCATCTAGAAAAAGAAACCAAAATATGGATTAGATTTTGCTCGTACTGTATTCAACACCTCTTTAGTGCCTATGCACTTCAAAACTCACTGCCAAGAGCAACTGAAATCAGCTGCATCTTTTCTATGGAAACTAAAAACACAGCTTCAGTTCTCATGAAACATTTAATGGGCACCAAACGGGAATACATAGAAGCATGGCACTGACTTTATCAATTGAGTTAAATTCTATCAGTAGCAGTAATAAGAAACAGATCTTCCTATTGCTACGTGTTTTTAACTGTATGAGTTTGGGCGCTGTGATAAAATATTGAGATTATATAAAAGAAATAACTATATACTGGGCACTCTACTAAGTTCACATGACCATTATTTCATTCAAGCCCCAACACCCTGCTAGGCATAACCAGGCAAATGTTCAGAAGGAGGAAGATGCTGAGGTCCAGAGAGGGTAAAAATCTTGCCAACATCACAGAGCCAGTAAGGAGGTATGAAAGTTCCCATGCCTCTCTGAACCTCAGCTTTCTCATATTCAAAATTGATTAAACAAAAACAAAGACAAATACAAAACATATATTCATATGCCTAGATACACACACACACACACACACACCTTGAAATGTTGCAGTGTTATTGGGGCAATAATAGAAAATCATGTCTTTAAAGATATTAGTGGAGTGCCTGGCCTATAACAATGTTTCAAAAATGGTAATGAGAAAAAGACATTACTAACAAACCGCAGGACTAGAATTTGAACTTCAGCCCCTGATGCCACATGTAGTTTCCACATATTTCTACAATACAATATTATAGTACTACTTACCTTTCAGCTCAGCATGCAAGCAATATGTCCTTTCATCCTGCAAAGTTCTATAGCTATTTTAAAATAGACATGGCTGTCTGCTTTATCAACCTTTTAATTAGTGACAGTGTATCTTTATGTCCATAAAAGGAGAAAAAGTATTTGCATATAAATATGATTTGGGGATGATTCATGGTACTTGGAACCATATAGCCATGTTTTCTGTTTCTCTCCAGTTTAAAATGTATCTCTCCACTATTTTCTTTCATTCATTTAAGTGCTTCATTCTAAACAACACACACACATGCATGTGCATACACACACACACATCTCTTGACTGTTCTGTCTGATCAAGAAAAATCATTCCATTCATCATTCCATTTGGCACCAAATTTAAACAGGGAACTATATTTACAACTCCTGTTCACTAATTAAATAACTTGAATTTTGCTTTTATCCTCATCACTTATCAGAAATCATTTTTACAGGGTTCACTGGAGCCTTCTAAGGTAGGGGCTTTATCACGGTCACTTTACTACTTGATCTCTTTGTGGCAAGAGCTCCTTCTAACTCTTCTATTCCAGCAACTTCTCCCATGGCTTGTGTATCATCAATCTTTTAGCCACCACTATCTTCATCTTTTTCTGGCCTTTCCTCTGCCATCTGTCTCTTGATGTTTGTACTCTGCTCTTAGCTACCTTAACTAGCAATTTTGTGATCCCTTAAAGTATTTCACACATTTCCACTGTCTCATCGACTTCCTATGCAATCATGCTCCTGTAGGGCAGCCCTGTTCCTTCTACATTTCTGGATATTTCCACATACTGTAGAAGTTGCAGATATTGTCTGCTGGATATTTCCAAGTTGATGTCTCCTGGGCCTTTCAAACTCATTGAGACCAAATCTCACACCTTCACACTCAGTTCCTTTCTACTTTCTCATATTCTTCCTTTTGGGGGATGATTATATTATTAGCCTAATCTCCTAAATTTAAGAATTTCAAAGTCAGTTACAACTCCCTGCCCCTTTCTCTTCCCATTAACTCTGTCATGCACTGTCGACTTTACATGCAATATCTCTTGAATCTCTCCCTGTCTCCTTATTGTACCCTGACAACCCTAGTGAACCCTTATCCTCTCTTTACTACCAAAATAGCTTTTCAGCTGGGATTTCACTTCTAATCCATCTTCCACAATACCAACAGAATAATCTTATATAGCGAAGGTCTTATCACACCACTTCACGGCCTCCATCTCTGTGGCATCTACCTCATGGTCTGCAGTTGAATTTTTGAACAAAGCAGAGAGTACAAGGCTGGCATCTGGAAAACATCACTGTGGGGGGATGGTACACCTTCTTGAAGTGTCAATTTTCTTCAATGATAATAATTTAGATGTAGAATAACCTCAATGGAAATAGTATAGAAAAGTACATAGATATATATGCATTTTTATAATCTATCTGAAAATTCAAATAAAGTCTGTGCTTCTTGTGGGGTGTCCTAGATTTGTGCACTATGCTTTGCAGCATTTCAGTAGAAGAAGTTGAGTAGTGCTGGCATGTAGGACAACCCACACTTCTAAGTGAAATATACAGGCTTTTTATAATCGGCACTAATTACCCTTAAGAATCACTTCATTCCACTTTTCCCCGTGAATTGAATGGGATGAAGAATTTCTACAAGATGCATTATAATGTTTTGTTACCTTTGTAAATTAAATCTTCAGATATTATCTCCATCCACAAAAATTGACCTTCTCCTACAGCATCTTGCAAGGGGAAGGCATTCATATCATCACAATTGTTTAATATCTTTTGTTCCTTAAAGTTTTGTAATCCATATGCACCTCCTTCAAAATCCACCTAGAGGTAATTAAACACTGTTACACCAAACAAACGTATGGAAAACTTATAACTATAAAGTTAATCATTTTATAGTCTTAAATAATTTATTATTATCCAAAATTCTTTATCAAGCTTATAAACAAAGTAAAAGATTTTCTTGAAATACACAAAATGTTTACAGATACAAAGAAGGTATGAGAAAATGCCCCCAAATTGTTCAGTACATGAAATAAATGTTTTTATTTTTTGATCATAAACTCATATATGCTTAGAAATAAAGGCCTTCTTCCTTGTTGCCAAAGAAATGGAGAAATCTTCCCCAGACAAATGAATCAGATACTTGCTTAATTCTACCATTGACCATAACTAGTCACATATGACCCATGATAATATATGTGTTCAAACTCTGGTTTGTTATTTTGAGGATAACTAGAGCATTTCTCACCACTGAGAAGAAAAGCTATCAATTAAAATGATGTATTAAAGTATTGAATATATCTTTTTTTTTTTTTTTTTTTTTTTTTTTTGAGACGGAGTTTCGCTCTTGTTACCCAGGCTGGAGTGCAATGGCGCGATCTCGGCTCACCGCAACCTCCGCCTCCTGGGTTCAAGCAATTCTCCTGCCTCAGCCTCCTGAGTAGCTGGGATTACAGGCACGCGCCACCATGCCCAGCTAATTTTTTGTAGTTTTAGTAGAGACGGGGTTTCACCATGTTGACCAGGATGGTCTCGATCTCTTGACCTCGTGATCCACCCGCCTCGGCCTCCCAAAGTGCTGGGATTACAGGCTTGAGCCACCGCGCCCGGCCTGAATATATCTTAATACAGCTAAGAAATGACTTAGAATATGAGGATTTATTCAGTAAATGTCAGATTTACTTTGGATTTTGCTTCTGGGATCACAGAACAGTGCCTAACAAATCATTCTTCTATGGTAGTCTCTTAAACTGAGATGTTTTACTTTTTAACTAAAAAAAATTAATTCTATACAAGCTACATATAACTTTAGTAACTATAGGATATGACAATGAGCATCCAGCCACTTCTGAATTTATACATATAGAGCAATAAATTTTAAATGGGATTATTGTAGAAATAGGGTCTTCTCCATGTCTCATGCTATCAAAGAAAGAAGTGTTGATCTAAACTGATCTGGAAGCATTTTGGCACTTGAATTTGATACGCTCTTTGGGTAAGAAAGGGATTATGCTGCCCACTCCCTAGTGCCAGAATGAGCAGCTTGGGAGATCTGTTCAGCGACATGCTGTCAACACAAACCCAATTATTCCACACTCTTTAGAGGAAGTACTAGGTTCAGATGCTCACAAGGTACTATTGAATTCACATGTACAATTGACTTTAACATGACAAAACAGCACCTAAATACTTTACATAAGCATATCAGAGGTGCTAGATCATCTCAACCAGTACCTGACATGTTGTCAGGCTTTGAAGAGGTTTTTTAAAGTTCTGAAAGTAAGCCAAGGATCTCATTTAGACAAATTATATATTCATTTAATGTAGTTTCATGTTGTCACAGAGTCACTTCGGATTCCTTAGGATTGTGAACTATGTGACTAGAATCAGAACATAACAGATGAGATCACTTTTAGATAAGGTAATTATAACTAAACCCCTCAAAACAGAGATATCAAATACCTCTGTTTTAGGTTGATTTAATGAAATACATATAAGTAGCAATGTGGCCAAAAGGCGGGAAACGAAGGTAAGAAATCAAATGCTAAAGTATTCACTATCTTGAAAGAAAATAATTGGAAATGGCCAAAAGCATCAGTTCAGCAGTTCTTTCTCCACATTTCTCATCTTGTAAGTTTTCTGTGATCCTTCAGTTTTGTTAGTGTTCCTCAGATACTGTGTGTGTACTGGAGAAAATATGTTTTTTTCTTTTAAATTAGGAAATTAAATTAGTTTTGCTTTTAAATTAGGAAACCACCAAAACCCCTCCAGATTTTAAAAAACTCTTCACAGTATTATATGTGTTCCTTTGTAATGAGTCCAACCACTGAAATTTTTACAAAATGATCTGTAAGTACCACAGTTTTTGAAATAAAATATATGATCCCTCAATCAATGAACTCTAATGTAGCTTCAAGAAACATTAAATAACATGAGTGGTTCTACTTAGGCAATAAATCTAAATAAGGACAATTAGAAACATGAAGAAAAATAATTTTGAGACTTAGTGTTAACAAATCCCTCAGCAAACATCTCTAGAAAATAAAACCACAGGCCAGGTGAGAGAGTTCATGCCTGTAATCCCAGCACTTTGGGAGGTTGAGGCAAGCAGATCATGAGGTCAAGAGACCAAAACCATGCTAGTAAACATGGTGAAACCTGTCTCTACTAAAAATACAAAATTTAGCTGGGCATGGCGATGCACACCTATAGTCCCAGCTACTTGGGAAGCTGAGGCAGGATAATCACTTGAACCAGGGACACAGAGGTTGCAGTGAGCCAAGATCGTACCACTGTACTTCAGCCTAGTGACGGAGTGAGACTCCATTAAAAAAAAAAAACTACGAGTGATATTAGAAATTTAAAATCTTCCTGTCCCATAATTGATTGTAAAGATACTATCCTAGAGGGTGAAATCTATTCATGACTCAGTTTTCTGGGGTAAGCCAAAAGGCCACAGTTACTTTGCTAATATTAAGAAGGACAAAAACGGTCTGTGATCTAGATGGACAGGCCAACAGATTCACCTTGGGAGGACTGACTGCTTGGTGTGTGATGTACTATACATGCCTGATTCACACACACAGCTGGCAACAGTGCTTATTTGTGCAGCCTATTTAGACAGCAATCTGTCAATTTCTACCAAACTTAGGGCTATAGGTACCTCTTGACCCTGCTAGGACTTTAACATACAGATACTCCTGTAAAGGCGCCAATGGACAGACAGAATTGCCACATCTACACTCACACACTCTGTCACATGTGTAACAGCAAAACAAAGTAAACACAAAACAGCCTAAGTGTCCATCAGTGCAAGACTGGTTAATAAATCATGATCTATTCATACAGTGGAATATTATGAAGCTGGTAAAAATAGCGTGGTAAATCTACAAGTGCTGATTTGAAATTTATTCTAAAATATATTTTGTGAGTAAATCAAAGTGGGAAGCTGTGAGTTCATACTTTTGCAAATAAAAAAAAGATATACTGACATGCGTGTATTTGTATAGGCATTATTTTCACCTGGAAAAGACGTAAGAAACTGTTAACATGGTTCCACTGTGGGAAAAGATTTGTGATGAGCGTTTGGAGAGGCTTTTTAAATGTCGTCTCAACATTTTAAAAGAGCCCCTTTCTCCTGCTGGCAGTCTGATGAAATCCAGTGTTGGGTTCTGAGCACCCATCAGCCTGTATCCCTTAGACAAGGCCATCAGGTAGTAGCTTGAGCTGCCTTTTGGTCCCAAGAACTGCATAAGAAGCAGAAGTGCCCATCCTAGAGCCTCAGGCTACCCACCCATCTTCAAAAGGTCACCTCCTCCACCGTGTTTCCTGATGCCCCCAACCCCTGAAGAAGGAATTCGCCAGTTTGTCTCCGTTTTACTGGGGACATTTTCTCTGGTTTCTCTGTTTCACTGTTAGACCACAAGGCTTCTCAATCCCCCACCCCCACAACCAGAGATAGCTATTTGGCTATTTGGTTCTAAACAAAATCTACAAAATGCCCCAAGTGAAACGGCACAGAGTCCAAATTGTCCTGTTCCAGGCAGCTGCCCGATCTTGTGCCAAGTGACACAGATACTTTTGAAGTAGGTTTCCCTGGACGGCAGTTGCCCATCTAGGAGCAAGAATAGATTGGACCAACGAGCAAACAAAATAGATAAAGCAGGCGCTGTGCCGGCGCGTCCTTAGCGGGGTCTCCTCTTGGATCGTGCACACGCCCCGAAGCTTGCCCCACCCCCCCCACCTCCCGCCACTCCACGCTTCCTCCAAACCAAGGGCTGCCCGCAAGGAAACCTCGAGCCGACCCCCACCCGCCCCGACGTCAGAACCCGTCCCGACCCCCGAGCTCCCAGGGTACCTTCAGCGATTCCTTGCAGTCGTCCGTGTCGTCCGGCACATCCTCATACAGCACGCCCTGGGGCTCCTTCTTTTCTCCAGGGCGCCACATCTTCTTCAGGCTGCGCTTCATTGACACCACCTCGGACGCCACCTGGTGCAGCTGCTCCCCACGCGCGCTGGCACCTGGGGCGAGAGGGCGCCGTCAGACCGCCGGGCGCTGAGGCCGCTCTAGCCCGAGCCGTCCCGCGCTGCAGCCCCCAGGCAGCGAGACACTCCCTCTGGCGGAGCGCCGGGGAACTTCTGGAAGGAGGTCTCAGCCCGCGCTCCTTATAGTGCAGCGCGCAGGCGCGGCGCGGATCGGCGCGGGAAACGCAAACCTCCCTCGCAAAGAGGGCGGCGGCGCCTCTGCCCGGAACTCGCCGCTTCAGGGACGAAGTGACCCGCGCGTCCCGCGGCCCTGCAGCTGCAGCAGCGCACTCCCCGAGTCACGCGTGTCAGGTAGTGGTGAGAGCCCCCTTGCCTCACCCTGCTCCCAACTCTGTGTGTGTGTGTGTGTGTGAGAGAGAGAGAGAGAGAGAGAGAGAGAGAGAGAGAGAGAGAGAGTCTCTCCAGAGAGACTGTTGACCTGTCCAGAGAGAGAGAGACTAGGTACATTGGAGTTAGTTTTCAGAATTTTTTTTCCTACTAAAATTCTGTGTACCTGTGTTTCCCTCCAGGTGCACCTCCTTCTGAGGGCCTCTTTGATATGAAAATGAGGTTTTTAGCAAAACACCTCATTACAAACCTCTGAGAGAATAGCTAAATCCTAGCACTGGTTTCGGGGACCAGATTAAGTCCTCGTGAATTCAGGTCTCATTTCCTCATTTCTTGATCCCCCTCATGATTTGGTGTTTAAGGGTGGTTAATAAAACGGTTAAATTTAGCTGGGCGTGGTGGCGCGCACCTGTAGTCCCAGCTACTCGGGAGGCTGAGGCAGAGGTTGCAGTGAGCCAACAGAGCGAGACTCCCTCTCAAAAAAAAAAAAAAAAAAAAAAAAAAAAAAAAAGTTAGATTAAACATGAGCCACTGACTGCTGTGTTTATTTGCCCCCAGCTTTGTTTGAGAAATTTCTTTTCATAGGTCTGCTCTGCATAGGTGTCAATTGTGTAGAATAAACGGTGTTCCCTCTCAATCGAAGAGGCTGATTCTATGTTTATGTTCAGACAAGGGAGCCTCTGAAACTGTTACCGGTATGCTCAAGTTTACAAGTTAGAAAGCAACAAAACTTGCCAAGGTTGACTAGACTTTGCTCGGGACAGAACGTAGCTTTGACAGTCTTTTGCTTTGACAGACTGTGCTCTCTGAAGGCCCTGGATTGTCATAATCACCCTCTCATCTCCAGCACCTAACACAAGACCCCGGTGGCTCCAGGACCTGGCATAGGGCCACTCAGTAATGGCTTGTGGACTCTCTGATCTAGGGGCTACGGTGGGCTGAACTTAGGGGTAGGCAGAGTGGATGTGATGATGTTGAGGAGCCATGAAGGGTCCCCCACAAATCTTCAAATGAATATGGCAGGTTGCCATCAATTCCACCCCTGGAGTGGAATTCCTTGGAAGGATAATATTGAACTTACCTCATCATGAATCCATGAATGGCTTGTTGAAGGATACAGGTGTTCACCTTTGCCCTTGCACACTTTTCCCACCAGTATCTTTGTTCAGGGTGTGCAGAACAGGAATCAGTTGCACAGCTTGCTGTGATTCGGTTGAAGGAAATAATGCATTTGGAGTAACCAATGAAGAAAAGAATTAGAGGGATGGTAAAAAGAATCTCTCACTGAGCCACTGCTGTCTACCTGACATTTTCCATATACCAGTTTCATGTTTTAAAATGGAAACACCTCATAGAATATTAAGACTTTTTATTCTATATCATTGATTACTTTGATCAATAGCTTTTCTCATAACACTTAGCTGAAAAGGGTCACTAAGGCAAAAAGGGAATAAAGAGGAGGTTCAAGTGATCATTTTGGAAGCTGGGGCAGAGGGCATGTCATCAGATGGCCCTGCTGGCCCTTAGAGATGGGGGGGGGCGCGGGGGGCGGAAGTGGGGGTGGTGCAGGGAGCTCCAGCAATGGAGGGTGGAGGGGAATACTGGGAGAAGGGTGGCTCCAGGCCAACAGCACCCCTCCTTTGTAACATTCTCTGGGGTCAGCTGGCAGCACAGAATGATTCTTTCTGCATTCTTCTTTCTGTATCCCATTGGCATCCTCAAAGCATGTCTTCTTTTAAATTTGTCTTCTTCAGCTTTAACACTGACAAATATAGGTGGTTAGTATTATAGAACTTAATTTTTCCCCACTTTCTGCTTATAAAAGCATAGATTAAATGCTAATTTAATTTTAAAAAGTATTTGGGGTGACTTGTTCATTTTAGGCACTTTTCAAGAAGTGTCTTCCTAAGACCTCTCAGGAATTCCTATGACTGTTTCTTCTTAATTATTAAATTGTTTCCTACCCATCGAAAATGTCTCTTTCATAGGTAGGCCAGGCAGCTTTCTTTTTAAATGAACTGCAAATCTTGGTCTTAGAATGTATAATGTAGACAGGAACAAGATGGAATCTAGCTATTTGCAATCAGGATCTTATTTCTTTTGAAATTTAATTATTAATAGCAATAAAGTATAATCTTTTTATATCAATTAGACTTTTAAAATAATGATAATTATTAGAGAAAAGGAATCTTCATAGAAATTTCCTGAAGGGAATTTTTATTATCAAACTACAATTTGACATTACACAAAACCTTATTCAAGAAAATAAGAGTGCCTCTTCTCCTCCAAATGATCACAACACCTCTCCAGCAAGGGCACAGAACTGGACAGAGGATGAGATGGGTGAACTGACAGAAGTAGGCTTTAGAGGGTGATTAATAAGAAAACACTGAGGTAAAAAAAAAAAAATAGTGTGTTCTAACCTAAGCTAAGAACCATGATAAAAGGCTACAGGAGCTGTTAACTAGAATAACCAGTTTAGAGAAGAACATAAATGACCTGATGGAACTGATAAACACAGCAGGACAATTTTGTGAGACAAACACAAGTATCAATAGCCTAATTGATCAAGTGGAAGAAAGAATATCAGACCTTGAAGTTTATCTTGCTGAAATCAGGCAGGCAGACAAGATTAGAAAAACAAGAATGAAAAGGAATGAGCAAAATTTCTGATAACTATGGAACTATGTAAAATGACCAACGTTACGAATGATTAAAGTACCTGAAAGAGAGAGAATAAAAACCAGTTGGAAAACACCTTTCAGGATATCCTTCAGGCAAACTACCCCAACCTAGCGAGACAGAACAACATTCAAATTCAGGAAATAAAGCTAATGCCAGTAGGATACTCCATGAGATGATCAACCTCAAGACACATAATTATCAGATTATCCAAGGTTGAAATGGAAAAAAAAAAAAAAAGTTAAGAATAGCCGGAGAATAGCCAGGAAACCTACAAGAGTAAGCACATCAGACTAACAGTGGGCCTCTCAGCAGAAACCCTGTAAGCCAGAAGAGAGTGGGGGCAAATATTCAACATTCTTAAAGAAACTGCATCTGGGGCTTAATACCTAGGTGATGGGTTGATAGATGCAGCAAACCACCGTGGCACATGATAACCTGTGTAACAGACATGCACGTTCTGCACATGTATCCCAAACCTTAAAATAAAAATTTTTAAAAAGAAACAAACATATAAGACAATACTAATAAAGACGGTTTAGTACTTCCTTTCCCAAATGTATGCCTTTAATTTTTTTCCACCCCAAATACTGATTAGAAGCTCCAGGACATTACTAGATAGAAGTGGAGAGAGTGACTATCCTTTTTCCTAGTCTTAGAAGGAAAGCAATATCTTCACCATTAAATATGACATTAAAGTGTGATTTTCACAGAAGCCTATTATCAGGTTGAAAAACACTATTTTTATTCTTTATTTTTATCAAGAGCCGGTATTGAATTTTGCCTGATGCTTTCTCTACAACTATTAAGATGATCATGTGTTTTTTCTCCCTGTTCTATTATTTTATGTTAATACATTTTCTAATATTAAATCAACCTTTTCATATGTTATTAGATTCAGGTTGCTAATATTTTATCAAAGATTTTGTGGTTAGCCTCGTGAAGAATATTAGTCTGTAGTTGCCTCTTTTGTGATATTTTTGTATAGCTTTGCTATTAGTATAACAATTGGCTCCCTGAATAAGTTGAAAAATATCTTCTATTTTCTGAGGTAGTTCGTATAATATTGGTATCATTTTTTTTAAAAGGTTTAATACACTTGACCAGTGCAGGTCTTTGGGAAGATATTTAATTAATAATTCCATTTTTTATCTTTTATAAAAATATTTTGATTTAATATTTCTGCTTGAGTAAATTTTGATAATTTATTGAGAAATTTGTCTATTTCATCTTTTTCTTTATGTATTTGTTGGCATAAAGTTATTCATAGAATTCCTTCTCAATCAATTTAGTCAGTCAATTTCTTGTGAGGTCTGTAATAACACCCTTTCTTTCATTCTTGTTTTTTGTATTTTATATCATCTCTGTTTTCTAGCTAATAGTTTATAAGTTTTGTCCAGTGGTTTTTAAAGAAACAGTTTTGATTTCACTGATTTCTTCTATTGGTTCTTCTACTTTTGGTTTCATGTTTTCTCTTTCTCTGATTTTTCTTCATAATTATTTGGATTTGATTTGCTCTATTCTACCTCCTTGAGGTAGAACACTCAGTTGTTGATTTTGGATCTTTCTTTCTTCTAATATAATTATTTAAGGTTACAAAATACTTGCTAAACTTTACATTAGATGCATCTCATAAATTTTGACTTGGTATGTTTTCATTTGTGGTTTCTTGTTCAATTCACAAATTACTTTTGAAACTCTATTTCTTAATTTTTAAGTATGTGAGATTTTCCCGAATTTCTTTCTGTTGTTAATATTCAATTCAATCTGGTTATGGTCAGGGAACATACTTTGTATAATTTCAGTTCATGTAAATTTAAATGTAGAATTGTTGAAACATGTTTTGTAGTTAACATATGATCTATCTTGTAGATTGTTTTACATACGCTTGAAAATAATGTGTACCCTGCTATCATTTGGTAAAGTTTCTGAGTATGTTATTGGGCATACTAGGGTGACAGTGTTGTTCAACTTTTCTACGTGCATAGTGATTTTCTATTTATTATGTTATCAGCTACTGAGCGTATTAAAATCTCAAATTATAATTGTTAAATTGTATGTTATTTCCTACAATTCTGTCAGGGTTTATACTCCATTGAGACGGTGTCTCTGTTCTTAGATTCATG